CTCAAATCAAAACAATTGCCCATAAAACAATCTAACTGAAAGTTAAGTCAGGTTATTTTTTTAAAGAATATGCTCAAAATTGTTTTGGTGTTAAATATAAACAATTTTTAGAGTCCCGATTGGTGCATCATATAATTTTAGATTCAAATCAAATTTAGCCCGCATTTTGTATATGAAAATATGTAAGGCTTGTCCATAATTTCAATAACAGCGGGCAATTGTAAATTAGGCTTAGGGATGTGGAAAGCTAGCTTCCCGAAGCCAACCCTAATTCAGTATTTTGGTTCGCAACGAAGACTTTTATAGAAATCAATTTCAGAAGCTTAAACATAGTCAAAATTGGTCGCACGGACCTGCAGTTATTTAAGTTGCAGTTAGCAATCTTTAAAACTCAGATAAAGCCAATTTGTACTCATTTTATTTGAATATGAGACAAACATGCTTAAGGAAATTAGAATATTTTGCAATTAGCTATCCGAAGCATTACAATTGAATTAATATCTTGAAATACAGAAACTCGACGAACTTTCTGAAAGTATATACGGAGTATTAGATGGAAGACGTTTTCACATTTCAACTGAGAGCTAAGGCAAAATGTAAATGTCATATATTCAAGCCAAGGAGCGGCTGTTGCACTGTGGACATTTGTCTCTGCAGACATTTGTTTGCTCAGCTTGATCCTCAGTCAATTTGCTGAATGCATCCGGAGCAAATGCAAAGTTCAATCAACCCACGCAGCTAACCGGAAACATCTGCGTCGACTGCACTCGATTAGACATAAAACGCAAATTATTAGCGGCAATGTTGGCAAAAACTATTTATAACCATGAATCAGGCAAACAATTGCCTTCAATTGTGGCACGGACTGTGCAAGGGCAAGGGCAACCAGACACAGAGAGAGAGGGGGAGAGGGAGAAACACAGAGAGAGAGCGAGAGACACTTAGTAGCTCCCAAACAAAAGTAAACACAAATTAGCCTAAGCCTTTTTGGGAATGGCGAGTCGAGGCCAAGTCGAGCAAACGCTACCGAAATGACAAAACAAATTTTGGAGAAACACAAAAAAAAACACACGCACACAATGTAAACAAAAGCAGTTAAACACTTTCAGTGCCAAAATGAGGGGCGAGGGGTAACCAGAATATAATCAACAAGTGCTATCTATGGCGAATCGAACGCTTGAATACCCTTGAATAGATTTACGTTAATAAGATCAAAGGCAATATTTTAAGTTTTTAGCTAATTGAAGCTCACGCGAAACGAATCCATGATCGCATATAACGCTCGCAGATAACATTTTGGCTTAAATCTAGCAAAAAACCAAATTTATACATTCAACATTTTAAATTTCTAGGCAATTCTCTGCAATATTTCAAAAGAATTGAGAATTTTCTAATACGTGCGAATCATTAAAGAAACAACATTTTTCACACCCATAAAACGATGGCATAACAAGCGTTAATAATTATTTACTCAACATGCATAAATCACATATGGATATTTACATGTTGCATGCAACCTGAACGAAACAATGCTGCCACCATATCGACTAAGCAAAGGGTTTAAAAAAAAGAAAACATAAATGCTGAGAGCGAGGTTTCATATTACATCGACTGGGCACGATGATAAGTGAGAATTTGAGCTGCGCATATGTATAATAAATTAGGATTTTGTGTTTTTCGTCTATATTCTTCTGGTTTATTTTAAATACTTATTCTCAATTTGGGTGCGAATGGCCGATAAGCCAAGCCGCCACAGCAGCCGAATGAGTCAGCAGTGCGAAAGAGAGCGGCGACAATCGATCAATTTGCATGCGGCGGCTGCGTTTCGATTCGAGCTTGGGATTGGGTCACACACTCATTTGTTGTACTTTTTTTTTTTATGGCAACAAATTTTATATGTTTTTTTTTTTTTTATTTCTGCTTTTGGCAATATAAAAGCGCGCGCCCATTGTTTAATTAAGTTGACTTTGTTGCGCGGAGTGCTGTGGAGCAGCACTTCACATGCATGACAAACAGAACAGAACGCCGACGGAGTAAGAGAGACAGAGATGAAGAGAGCTGGATAGACACACATATACATATATAAGTATGTATGCATATACAGTACGCACACGAGACAATACACAGCTGAACTCTTGTGCGTGCCAAACGTACAGAAACTCACATTCCATTTTCTAAACATGCCTGAGAACATTTCTTTTAGCAATAAATCATAAAAAGGGAAACAATTACCGTCTTGTTTTTTCTTAAAAAAAAAAAAAAAACTATCAAGTATAGGCCGGCTTTGAAAGGGCAGATTATTTTTCATTTCATTTAAATTTGCCGCTTCGTGCGAAAATCGTTGAAACAGATGTTAATAAATTGAAGTATAGATTTAAAACTCGTTTTAGCTGTGACTAATTCAGCTGCCTAGCTAAGCAGCTAGGTCAGTTATTTAGTTAATTGGGGCAAATAGTTATATTTAGATGCAATACTTTGTAAATCTGTTGACCATAAAAGCCACAACTGCGTCACAAATGTGCTTTGCCCATTTGTTAGATGATTTTCGACTACATTCTGAGTAAACACGCATCAATGGAGACGGCAAAAGTTCGACTGGGGTCATCATCAAATCGCACAAACACACGCATACAACAAATGATGAGCTCATCAATCACATGCATTTAGAGTAGGCGAGCGGAAGAACGGGTTGAGGGCCAATACGGATGGGGATAACGTTTATTATCCGTTTATCCGTCTATCCGTTTGTTATCGTTGCACTTACCAAGACTTTGGCAAATCGCCGATCCAGCTCATCGGTGGTGGGCATCGGCTGTTGGCTGCGACTGCGCACGCTCGGCTGCCGGACATGATGGTACTGTGAACTGGAGCCGATGTCATAGCGCAGATCCTGCTTTTGGAGTGTACCCATGCCGGGCGGCGCATTGTGATGCCCATTGTTGCGGTGCATGGAGTGTGTGCTCTGGTGCTGATGCAATGATGGATGCGTATGCGGATGCTGCTGTTGCTGCTGCTGCTGCTGCTGCTGCAGTTGCTCCTCTCTGTCCACATCGGCATTGGTGATGTTGCGTGATTTGACTGCGCCCATTATGGTTGCGAACCGGCCGCTGCCCGCCGTTGCTGCGCCAGTTGTTCCTGTTGTTATTGTGGTGCACCAGCCGCCAGCACCACCGCCACCGCCGCCGCCGCCTCCGCCTCCACCGCCTGCCCCACCGCCACCGTCGTTGCGGGCGTCGCCGGCCTCGATGCTCGCTACAGTTAGCGCTGTGCTAAGGGACGTTGATACAGCGCCCCATACAGTGCGGCAGAGTGCGCGGGTGCGTTCGGGGCAACTTGAAAGTTGCTCTTTGATTCCGTTGAAGATATCCAAAGCGATGTTTCGGCTTGGCCTGCGCTCGCCCTGCAGCCAGTGAATTTTAGTATAGTCTATATATATATATATATATATATTTCAATATATATATATATATATATCAACCGAAAATTTTAATTTCTTTTTTTAAGGTGTGTGTATTTGTTTTGGGTAGTTGTCTTTTTTTGTTTTTGTATCGAACTAAAAGCGAAAAAGTTGCTGTGTTAAAACTTTATTTTTGCAATGCAAGCACTTCTAAATGCAATATTAATTATTTATATATGAATATATGTATGCTTGTATTTTTATGCACATACGCGCACTCACACACAATTGCATATACACGCCCTAAAAGAATTTTGTTGGAAGCACAAATAATGACACCAAGTGAGTAATGTGTGCTTGTTGTTGTTGTTGTCGTTGTGTTGTTGCTGCTGATGCGGCGGCGGCTGCTGCTGCTTCTTCTTATATGCAACTGAACAAACACATACACACGCCAGCACACACAAAACACACACTCTCACACAATAAACACGAGCCAGCACGCACACAGACACAACACACGCACACACACACTAGAGCACAGACAAAGCGCAGATTTCAATAGAACGCTCCTGTAGGCGTTTGCTTTAAGCCCTTGCTTTTTATTTGTGCTTTAGTCACTTGTTGGTAACTTGAGTTAAAAGCGTTTCAAATTTTTAATTAAATGCTGCATTTCAATTACTTAGGTTTTGTACGCGGAATTCCACTGCAATTATTTAAATGCACTTTACATGCGACGGCGCGTCTACAGCGACTTGCAACTTCGTTTGTCGAGTTTTCGAACGAGACTGACAGTGTGACCGACCTTCCGGCAGCATTGAAATACCAAATGGTGTGCTATTAAAAAAATATACTAGCCTGCACGCTTTGCACGAAAGTGTCTATGTATAAATTATTTGAGAGCAATTTATGACTCGGTAAAAAAAGCAAATTAAAAATGTTTGTGATTGAATAACAAATAGCTACATTGTTTTTTTGTTGAAAATTTATCTAATAGCAATACACAAATACTGGTCAACCAAAAAAAACATCGCTGCCCTGAACATTCGATGAATTAATCGACGAGCGTCATCCCTGGCAACAAAATAAGTGAAAATACGAATTGTTTACAAACATTTGCAAATACTTAAATAATGGGTACTCCCCACAAAAGTTCTAACTACTTTTCACCATACTCACAAAATGTGCGGCAATATCCATCGCAAACAGCTGACTATATGTCACAGCATGCTGGCGGAGTGCAATCCCCATACACACCGCAGGACCGAGGCGGACAAGGATCTAATCAAAACACACCGCATTTCTACCAAAACAGAACGCCGCAACATCAAAATAGTGGCTTCTACGAGGACAGACAGGGCTCCAGCGCCAATACGGCGCACTTCTATCAGATCAAATCTCCGCAACAGCAACAAGGAGGATCTCGACATTATGGCCAACGCGGCGGCAGACGTGGCCAGTATCAAAATCGACAATTTATTAACCGGAACGTCAATTCGTTTTCTCAGTACTTTCACAATTCAATGTTGGAGGATCCATGGCGCGAATTGATGGAACGCCACGAGGCAATACACGGCAGCGCCCTGAATGAGCAATCGATTATAAATTTAGATACATAGCTTCAGTTCAACACTTTATATATACATTTACAAAACGTGTTTCATTTAAAAAACTCAATTGTTAAACACTTAATGCTACAGATTCTTCTTTCTTTGTCATTTATGATGTTGACGCTTCTCTAGATATTTCTCCCAATCAGCTGCAATTCGATTATAGATGCCCATTGCGGCGCGTGCATCCTCCACAGAGTTGTGCTCCCCGGTCTGTATCTCCTGGCCCAGAACGGCCAATGTAAGGCGCTTGAGGCTTGGTGTGTGTCCATTTGAGACGAGCTTACAGAGCGGCTTATAGCGAGAGGTATCACGAATTTGGGCCACGGGATGCTTTATGCTCAGGACGGCGAGATCATTGCGCAGAGCGTGGCCAACCAGTATTTTGCCGTGTAGCAGCTTGACTACCTCATCTTGCACATCTTTAAACTCCTCGGCGTTCTCGATGTCATGCGGGCGTATGCCCGAAATACTTGTGCGATAATCTGTCACTGGCTCGCGGGGCTTAACATGCTTGTCCAGCAGCACCTCGCCCACTTTGTTTACGATAGACACACGCGCCAGCATATCATCCTGTCCGTTGAAACCCACGCCCACCATCTCACAGTCCATGGCCAAGATGCGATTGCGCTGTGCCTTGCGCTTTAGACGCGCACGCGCCGATTTGGTTAGTGCCGCGTTTGCGTCTCCATTGCCAGTTTGGGCTGTATGTTTTTGGTTCTCGGTGCCAGTGGCTGCTGCCGCCTGCCAATTGGAGCCGGCGGCACGTCTATTGATATTTGGCTGTTGCACTTGCAAACGCTCCATCGAGATCTGCAGCTTGCGCTGTCCGGGAGAACTCGAGTTCGTGTTCATAGTTTTCGTTTTCTCACTCACTGTGGCGTTTCTGCCGCGGTTCAGGTCGAACTGTTTCTGACGCTGCGCTGAAGACATTGAGCTAACGCCAGATTTATTTCATTAGTTGCGAGTGATGGCTGTTTTTCGTCGTAATTTTAATATTATTTGGAATTGGGCTCTTTTTGTTTTCAGCTAAAATCCCCAAAAAATGTGTTTTGGCAATCGACGGCGATATCGATTACAAGTAATTGGAAATCAGAGTTACTTTTACAAACTAATCGAATGATTTAGCTACGACAATAATATGTTTAAATCAATAACCATTTTTAACCAAACAAGCCTCTGCACACATTTCTTTTTTTTAAACAATCTCAATTAATATAGTTAATTTTTTTTTTCAAATCTTAAACGGGTAACTTTAGCAACTAAAAATGTTATCACTGCTAAATAACAGTGCAAGCAAATGTAAAATTGTTATCGCTGCTTAGCTGCTGTTAAGATATAACGAAGTCAGAAGTAGAAAAGAACAAAAAGTGGAACAAGACGCAAACATATTTGTTTTAAATCTAATAAGAAGAACACCAATAACTGAACGGGCTTCTAAGGCTGGTTGCTTTACGTGGCTTGCAACCAGCTGCCGTAGTTTCTAGCACGCGAATCTTACATTTTAATTGAAAGCAAACGCCTGCAGCCAACAATGCATAGCGTACCATAACTATGCAACATTGTCATTAGCTGCACGCACTTTGTGCGGTCTACGCTGGCAGTGGCCGCAACACTAAACAAAAGACTATATCCAAGCTCGTAATATGGCTGGTGGCGCTGCAGCTAGCGCCATGCAGTCCTTTCACACACGCTGCGGTCGATCCATAACGCTCGGAAATGGGAATCGTTCTGCACAGCGTTCGATGCGAAACTTTAGCCATGCGCTCGTGTTCAGCGCAGAGCCCCTTGTGGATGATGTGCTCTTCGAGGTGGTCATTGAGAAGAAGGTGATTTGCATAGTTATTATTATTATTAGTATCAGCGCATCAATTGATAGCATTTATATCAGAATCACTCCTGGGGCGGCAGCATTGAGATTGGCGTCACATCGGAGTCGCCCGAAGATTTGGAATTAGTCGCCTGCGCTACGGCCATGCGGAATGGTACCTGGGTTATGTCCGGTATTGATGTGCGCAAGGATGGCCGACGTTTGCTGGAGTATTATGGAACGGATCTCGAAACTCTTAACGAAAATGATCGCGTTGGCGTTATGCGTACGTCCAACCATGAGCTCGTTTTCTATGTCAATGGTGAATCTCAGGGCGTGGCCGCCAAGAACATGCCCAAGCCACTGTGGGCCCTTGTCGATCTCTACGGGCGCTGTGTGCAGGTGTCCCTGTGTCCTACGGATGCGAGCACCATCATGAACAGCAGCAGCGAGGTACTTAACCTGGTTTAAGTTACTCAATGTATTTTGTATATAAAAAGCTTTTTTGTCAACAGCTGTTGGACTCGCCTTTGCAGCAGCCACTGCAGCAGGTTATCCAGAATTTGGACGTGCCCATGAGCGTCGATGTCAGCGTGGTGGATAGCAGCAACATTGACGCCCTAACGCGGCTTAATCTCAATGCCAATGCCAGCTGCAGCTCCAGCAGCGGCATCGGCGAATTCTACGATGTAAATGATCGGCTGCGTTTTCATACGCGTTGCGGCTCCTTGGTCAAGTTGTTGCCCAATTTCCGTTCGGCAGAGCGTCGTCGACCGCTGGATGAGTTCAACAACGGCGTCGTCATGACGCATCGTCCACTGCGCGACAATGAACTGTTCGAAATACGCATTGATAAGCTGGTGGACAAATGGTCGGGCTCCATTGAGGTGGGCGTCACCACGCACAATCCGACGGTGCTGCACTTTCCAGCCACAATGACAAACATGCGCAGCGGCACCATCATGATGTCCGGCTGTGGCATCTTAACCAATGGCAAGGGCACGCGCCGCCAGTACGGCGAATTCAATCTTGACGAGCTACGCGAGGGCGATCGTGTGGGCATGATGCGCAAGTCGAACAGCAACCTACACTACTACATCAATGGTCAGGATCAGGGCGTGGCAGCGACACGCGTTGCCGCCACACTATGGGGCGTCATCGATCTGTATGGCATGACCATCAAAGTGACCATTGTTGACCGAGACGAGCGTGAGCAACAGAACTTAGTCACCAGAAGGAACAACATTGTCGCCGGCATGGCCATGGGCTGCAGTCATGGTCAGTCTGGTACGCCCACGCTGAGTCTCCTAAGCCCGGAGAGCGAAATGAACGTGGCCGGCGCAGCTGGCGGGCTAAGCGAAACTATATCCAGCACACGGGCCATAGCACGCAACGATGATCGCCTCACATTTCATCCCATTTGCGGCAGTCATGCCACGGTCACGCAGAGTGGACGCACTGCGCTCCGGCCTAAGTAAGTTTCGTCTACTTAAATGGAAACTTAGAACTAATTTACCTGTTAATTCCAGCGCTGCTGATGATTTTAATAATGGAGTAGTGCTAACACGTCGTCCACTGCGTCCCAATGAGCTGTTCCAGGTACGTCTCGAGCGTGTGGTCACCAAATGGGCTGGTTCTGTGGAAATGGGCGTGACCACACACACAGCCGATGAGCTGGACTTTCCATTTACCATGACAAACGTGCGGTTAGTAAAGAATTGCTTATTGCTTAAACTTCATATATAAACTTACCTCTATCTCGTTTTCTATAGCTCCGGCACCTGGATGATGACTGGCAATGGTGTCATGCAGAATGGCGTGACTGTAATCGAACAGTATGGCCAGAACCTGGATCGTCTTCAGGTGGGCGATCGTGTGGGCGTTGTGCGCAAAGATGATGGCACTCTGCACTTTTGGGTGAATGGTGTTGACCAGGGACCCGCGGCAACAAATGTGCCGGAGCGTGTCTACGGTGTGATTGATTTGTATGGCCAAGCAGCGCAGGCGAGCATCATTGACACCTCGGAATGCGGCAGCCCAGACACGGGCAACTCAACCATTTCCAATACGACGCTGTACAGCGAGGTGCCGCTGCGATTTCACAATATTCATGGCGCCAACGCGGGCATTTCCAACAGCGGCCTGACTGCATCTCGCCCCAACTCGTTGGCGGAGTTCAATGATGCCATTGTGTTCAGTAATCGGCCGTTGCGTAATCGTGAACTATTCGAAGTGGAGCTGGAAACGATGGTGCGCCACTGGTCGGGCAACATTGAGATAGGCGTGACTGGCACTCGACCGGAGGACATACAATTGGCACCCAATGCTACCGATTTGGAGGCCAATGATACCATCATTCTGTGCGGTCCCATGATATTTCACAATCGCAAAAGCATACGCACCAATGTACTCATCGATTTGGACACACTTGGCACGGGCACACGAGTCGGTGTCATGCGCAACGGCGACTTCATACATTTTTTTGTGGATGGCATGGACCAGGGTCCCGCTGGGGAGTGCCATGCGCCCAACATTTGGGCCATCATTGATCTCTACGGACAGTGCGCACAGGTCAGCCTGACGCAGACACAGCTGGACATACGTGCTCCGTATGCCACCAGTGAAAATTCACAGAGCTGCCAGGCCACGTCCGTTATACAGCATCCAGCGTTGGAGACCAAACATCGCTGGACATTCATTTCGGGCAATGTAGTGCTTACCAAGGATTGGACAGAGGCCTCACGATATACTGGCTCTACGGCTGCTCTGTCGCATAGCCTGGTCTTCTCCGAGCATCCTTTGAGCGTGGGCTCGCCCTTTGAAATAAAACTGACCTCTATTAATCCCATGTATGCCGGTAGGTCTTGCGCCTATTATATTAATCAGTATATTAATCGATTCTTTCTCTGCAGGCTGTCTCAGCATCGGCATCACAGATCTCAACTTAGCTGATGAAACCGTGCGCAAGAAGCTGCCCACGAGCCTTAAGCGCATTCCCGCCAACGTTTGGTATGTCAGCGGCAACGAGGTGCGCTTCAATTCCAGCTGTCTGCAGCGTTCGCTGGCGTCCCTTGAGTGGCTGCGTGTGGATGATCGCATCACACTGGAACGCGTTGAGAACTCGGTGAACATACTGCTCAACTCGGAGAACGTGAATATTCAATTTCTTAATGTTCCCAACAATGTGTATGTGGTTGCCGAGCTGCGCGGCTCGACCATGGCCGTTCAGGTAATCTCTACACAAGTGCCCGCATCGCCTTTGCGGCCGTGCAGTCTACGGCTGCAGGACTCCATGGACTTTGGCATGGATCCCCTCAACAAGCAGGACAGCTCAATGCTGGAGTCCATAGATTCAGAGGCGCAGAATTATGAGTTTGTGGACGTATCCAATAAGCATGTGCGTCTCTCCGATGATCGACGCAGTGCCTCCAGAACCAAATCCTTCAATCAGGCCATTGTCTATCTCAACAAACCGTTGTGCAAGGGCGAAAGCATTAGCATCAAAGTGGACGCGATCAACAATAAATGGAAGGGCACTCTCAGCCTGGGCGTGCTGGCCGCGTGTCCCCAGGCGCTGGCGGTGCCCATATCGCTGCTCAACTGCAAGCGCAGCTGCTGGCTGGCCACACACGACTACATCAACATTAATGGCCAGGTGATGGCCTCCAAATACGGCGAAGCACTTGAGCACATACAGGTGGGCACTGTGATTACCCTGTCGCTCACACACGCCGGCATGCTGAGTAAGTATAGAAGAGTGAGTGGCAATCATTGGCATTTATAATATGCTCGTCTGCTTACAGTCATCATGGTTGGGTCCACAAATCTAGAGGATCTGGCCAGCGGTTTGCCCGGTCATGTGTATCCGATTTTCGATATATACGGAAAGTGCGAGAAAATCACATTGCTAACTGGAAATGATGCCACGCGCACTGGCAATGCCAACGGCACACCAATTTTGGAGGCACCTGAAGCACTGGAGCTGGACAATATGCCGCAACAGTGCGAGAAGGCGCATTTGGAAATGCACGAAAAGGAGAAGGACACGGAGCAAATGAGCGATAGTACCAGAGAGTTGCCCATGGGTGCTTCAACCTCTGCTGCCGCCAATATGATGTAAGTGCATGTCAATTTTTTACTTTTGAATATGATGTTATATCGTTTTCAACCTTGCTCCAAACAGGACTCGTTCGGTTATGGAGAGCGTCTCGGAGAATCTGCTGCTAAACATCTCTATTAAAAATCGCACGCTTGAACAGCAGCGAAATGAACTGGGCGGCTCATCGTCCACTTGGTAAGGGAAGCCTGGAAAACTTCATAGTGTCTCAAGTTCCTAATTAAGTTTTCTTGCAGTTGCTTGCGCGAGTCCTTGCAGCTGCAGCACAACACGAATCTGAATATTCAGCGAAGTCAGAGTACTCAACGATTCCAGAACTCGCTGAATACATCAACAGGTGGGGGCGGTGGCGGTGCCAGCACTTCTAATGCGGCATGTCAGCCGCACGCATCAAGCGCCGTTTACGATACGAACAAGGAGTATGATGAGCAGCTGTTATGCTCCAATGTGGTTGCTCCAGCTATGGTCGCCTCGCACGAATCGGAGCACAGTGAGAACAACGCAGAGGCAGTTGTGGAGGCAGCCAACGAACGGGAACTGTCCAGCGAGCCTGACAACGTGCTGGAAGATGATGAGATCGATTATATGAATCATTTGTTGCTGCTTCAGCAGCTGCAACAGAATGAATACACACGTATGCAGCATCATTTGTTGCCGAACCAAATGTCGCTGCTAAATCTGGATCTCTCTTCGCTGAACTCCTTGGAATCGGAAACTAATTCCATGGGCAATGCCCGGGAATCGTTGCGTACTGCAGCAGCGGCGCTGGAGCAAAACGATTGCGAGTATTTGAAACAAGTGAAACGTTTCTGTGCCTCCCTGGTGCTGCCACAGGCCTTTTTCGACATCCGCCTGGAGCCGATCTGCTTCTGCTCCATGTGTAGCTGGAGCAACAACGGCAACGGCGACAAATTGGAAGGCTGGGTCTACTTCAAGCTAAATCAGCAAACGGTGAATGCGCTGAGCACTTCAACCTCATCCGCTGCCGGCTCATCGGCGGGTCAGGTGCACTTGGATCTGAATGGTGATTGGCTGCCCTTCTACTACATGACACGCGTGGATAAAATACGCGCTATCTTAGATCGTGGACAGCCGCTGCCGCTTGAAATGGATGAGGACACGGTCGCAACCACGCACAAAGATGAGCCTGGCACCCGTTTGGAGCTCTACTACTCACCCAATGCCACAGTCATTGAACCGGTGCTACCGCAGCATCATTATGTTTCGGATCAGGGCGTGCATCGCATTTCCACCTCTTTCGAAGTGTATGTCCGTCGTCAATCGATCTCTGGCGTCACCACGGGCAAAGCAGCCACCGAGGCGAAGCGACGCAGCATGCACACGACCGATAATGAGGCTACCAATGATGGCGGATCGGGTGGCGCTGCTGGCGGCGGCGGCTGCAGCAGCTCTGGCACTTTAAACGAGTCCTCTGTGCATTTGCTCAACGATTTGTGCTGGTTTACCAAAGAGGCAGGCGCCTGCATTATTAATGCATTAATTATTAAATTAGACCGCATCGAAGAGCCTGCAAGCGAAACCTAATTAGACTATCTACATATAGATAATATTTATACACTAGTCACCAGCTCGCAGCCTAATTAAATATTAATATCGTATATGATAATACTCGCTAGTTTTCCACGCATACGCATTCCCCTTTATAAACATGTTTTGTATTGTAGGTGCATATGATTCTCCAAATATAATTACAATGTTACTCCCTAACCCGAACTGTTGAATGTGTTTTCCGCAACATCTTTGATATTATGAAGTATTTATTTAGTTTGAAGAGTCGTATTCGTATTTGTGTTGATTTGCGCAATTTGTCCTACTTTGTTTCTGATACTATCCATTTTCAGACTGATGTTTGCAACCAGATCATTATCATATTTAATTTGCTCTTCGTATTGGTTTTCCTTTTCTTTATAGAGCTCCAGATTAGCTTGAAGCTCGGCTACCTTTGCTTGGAGTACCTTAATTTGATTGTCCTTGTCTCTGATTGCAATCGCGTTTTCTTCAATATCATTTTTGGCCTTTTCTCCACTCTGTACTAAGGACCTTAGAAGAGTATAACAATAAGATCCGCATTGTTGATCCAAATTGGTTGATATTTCGTTTAACTGCGTTATAAAAGTTTTTCTTATACAATTGTCTGGATACTCGATTTTAGAGCACTCACCGAACCATTTGTGGTTGCTGCACCTGCCATAAATGCCTGCAGAGCAAGCAGACAAATTATTAAAACTTTCATGTTTATTAAATTTGGAAGTTTTCCTTTGCCACAAAAATCTTCTTGATACTTGGTTGCGATGAGTTTCGCAGACAAAACAGTACTGAATATTTCTGTATTTCGAAAATTTATAACTACGTGTTTTCAGCGAGATGCGCTATATAAATGTGTGTACATATATGTGTGCCAAGAAATATACTACTATATCGTTAATTTTAATGGCCTTTTCAATTCATTTTAATTTCCCGGAATTTGTTTACTTATACATATATTAGAAAAGAAAACGAGGTGCGCTGTGTATTTGCTCGTTATGTTTTCAGCTCAATATGTAGGGAGGAAAAGGTTTTATAAATTTGCGAAATTGTATCGAACTGATTACAGAATATTGATATAAAATGCATTTCCATGACAAGCGAACTAAAAAACAGCATAATGTGCTTTTTGGAATCATCATTAAGGTTTTATTTGATTATTTGAATTCCATTCATTTAGTGTCGCTTTTTGTTATTATTCAACTATGCAAAAATGGTCGATTAGAAAATGTTTTTTTTTTTATTAAGTTGTTGCATCCATCCATCCATCCATACAGCTCCGTCCGTCACTTCCACTGCCATCGTCTGCTGCACTTAATCCAATCGTTTGTTTTATACGCTTACACATTTAGTTTTTGTTTACAGTTTTGCCAGTTTGCTGATTCTGATGCGTCGGAAAAGCAAAAGTGCATATACAATTGTTGTTTCATGTTTGTATACGTTAAGTTAAATTTGTTGTTTTTATCGTTATATTTGTTTTTTATTAAATATATCAATTACCGTCGAAGATGCCGCAGCAGGCAGCTCACTCCACGTCCATGGCAGCATCGGTGGGTCCATTGCCACCAGCGGCTTGCCCATTGTTGTCAACATCCATTTTGTCGCCGGCGGCACTCGGCTCGCCGCCATTCTGCTCCGCAGCATCCTTGGGCGGTGTCGTTGTCTTGGTAGCAGCCGGCTTCGGTTTCGCGCGCGTAATAACAGAGTTAACGCAGGCATTCAACGATTGTATCTCGTGGCGCAGCGCCGGTAGCTGCACGGGACTGTCCGAGGTGCGCGGCGATTGGGTGAACTTGGACAGATTGCTGTCGAGCCACTTTTGCGCCTTGTCCGCAGTTTCGGCAATGTTGATAAACTCGGTTTCCGTTAAATGATCGTACTTGGGCACACCCTTTCGGAACTCGGCCACTGCCTGACGGGCCCAAGCAATGCTGTTCTTCAGCTCATCAAATCCAGCCGGGCACTGCTCGTAGTCGTGGGCGCGCAGCTTAATAGGATCGGTTTGTTTCTGCAGGGCCGTCAGGCGGTTGGTGTAAGTCTCACGCTCGCAATCCTCGCCCTCCTCATACAGCCAGTTCTCGAGATCATTCAGCTGCGCTACAATCGACTCGCGTTCCGACTCAACCACATAACGTTCGAGTTGTCCACCCTAGCGTATTATTGTTGTTATATTGATCTGTTTGGCTATTGTTAAAGTGTATTTAGCAGTTACCTGTAGCTTGTTGCGCATATCGTAGACAAACTCCTCCAATGCGTTTTTGGCATCGATGCGTTCCGTTTCCTTCTGATCGTTAGAAATCATCTTACTTTCCTGCTGTGTGAAGTTGCTCAAATCGGCTGGATTGAAACCATGAGTGGCCACCTCCATTGGCAGCTCAATTGCCTTAGTGGTCTTCTTCTTTGTCTTGTCATTGCCCTGTAGCACAAATTAATAGAGACAGACATTAAAACAGCTGCAACGATTGGATATAGTTTTTCGATTCTTGTAACCAATAGAAAGAGGAAATAGCTCGAAGCGGAACAACAACAAAGCGAAGAGGAAAAACAGCTCAAGTAACAGCCTACAATATGAGCAAAAGATTGTGATTTGTGTCTTAATTATGTAAATAGAGGTTCGAGTAGCATTCATTGGATTAGAGGCGCATTATATAACGTGTTCTTTTGTTGTTTATTATTATTTTGTTTTTTTTTTTAATTCTATTTTTTTGCATAGTTTGTCAAAATAAACAAATGTATATTCAAATAACAAATAAAAAGTATTCAAGCATATTGGGCAATTTGTTGTTTAAGCAATTTTATATTTTAGGTTTCTTTTTTTTTTTTTTTTTGTATTTGTTTTTGTTTTTATTTTGCAATAGGAGCACACAGGGTAGGCGGCTTATGAGCGGTCTTCATCATTCGTTTTACTATCGGTTGTTGGGTGGGAAAAGAAAGCGCAAAATTTTGTGCTTGAATTTTTCTCATACGACATTTCCAATTTCGTGAAATTTTCTCATTTTGAATTTTGATATTAGAAATTAAAGTTGTATTAAGATTTTTATTTGCTTTAAATTTGAAAACGTACCGAACCAAACCAGCCCTTGACCCGTTGTGCCCACCCTTGTCCGCCAGGTGATGAGGCTGTTGATGTATTATTATCATCCTCATTCTCAAAATATGCCTAAGAGAGAGCAAAACGCGAGCGCACAATATCCAATATTTGGGTAATAGTAGTAATAATTGTATGTATATGTAGTATATATATATATAACCGTACAAATGCAATGTACAATATAATATAATTAAACAGCGAGAGCAACAACAACTACAGCACTAGATTGGGAATGAAACCAAGCTAACACAAAATGGAAAACATAACCGGGTCGAGACATTCTCTTTAATTTTTGGTCGCGCTTGATATATACACACAAATATAATTATAATTAGAAAATAAGCAAGAAACTCATATCTCTGAAATGCTAAGAAAAATATGATAAGGCAAACATACATGCGATAAAAAAAAAAAAAGAACTACGAGCATACGCCCCTATAATGGGATGCTGTTATCGTGAAATTTATGGCAATGAACTCATTCCTTGATAATTTGTGCAATATTAGTCGGGATTTTAAATTGTCTAGCATTTAATGAGCTGAGGTTTCATTCCCTGTCTAGGCGAAATAAGGAAAGCGAGTAGAACGTCAAAAAAATAAAGAGACAGACTTAATTAGAAGTGAGCAAATGATGAGAACCGATTAATTTGATGTAGAGTGGTGGTTAGCAGAAAAACTCTGGGAAGGGTTAGAAAATGGCGAAAAAGGAGAGCAGCGCCTATTCAACAACAGATGATGTCAAATATTGATGAAACTGATGATGATACTAGAGAATCAGCTAGCTGCTTTTTGGGTAGACTTACCTCCGGTTGGCCATCCGCTGATTCAGCAGCATTGGGTGCCGCTTGCTCGCCGGCCGACTTCTCCTCGGCAGCGGCGGCCTGTTCACCAGCGGCGGCAGCCTCTTCCTGCTCCTTGCGATCGACAAGCGTGGCCGATGAAATTAGAACAATGCCATTTTGATTGATGCGAACTTTCAATTTAACATCCTGGCTCTCGCCACGTTCCGTTGGCTTCACATCCTTGATCTTCCAGACGCCAATGGTCTGATCCGGATACGGCACCTGTTGACCGTACACAATGGACGCATTGAAAGGACCCTTGCGTGCAATAGTCACCAGACGGCTGAACGGTGACGGATGGAATTGCGGAAAGATTTCAACTTCGCCATTCGATGATGAGCCATCGCCATCCCAGAGCACTTTCACGGCATAGTTTTGTATATCTGTCACTCCGAATTCGCGCACACGCACAGCCGGTGACATAATGGCGCATTGGAGAGCTGCTCCACGCGATACAGCCTCATCCTGATTAAGTGTGGTGCTGGCCGGCTTGTTGAACACCTACACAGAAACAGATACACACACATAAGAGACTTGCCAAAAAGTTTCGATTGCGATTTGTATGACTCACCTGCTCAATGAGCTGCTTGATAGATGGTATGCGAGTACTGCCGCCTACAATCTCTACAGAGTGTATTTCGTCCAGTGAGAGTTTGGACTCGGCGAGCAGCTTCTTAAATGTTTGCTCGACACGCTGTAGCACTGGGGCGCACAGCTCTTCCATCTGGGAGCGCTGCATGGATGAGCTGACGTCGACATCGTCCAAGAAGCATTCAATGTTCAGCGGCAGTTTGGTGCTGTTGGCGGACATTTGCTTCTTTAGCTTCTCAATTTCGGTTAGCAGACGCAGGTTGGCGCGAGCATTGGTCTTGGCATTGATCTTATAGCGTTCGAGAAACTCCTTGGTGAAGTACTCAGCCAGCGCCAGATCAATATCGCGCCCACCAATCTGATCCCAGCTGCTGGCCAACATCTTCAGCTTGCCCTTGGTGAACACACAGGCGCTGACCTGCAGCGCCGAGTGGCCAAAATCAACGAATATAACATTACGTGGCTTATCCTCAAACAGATCATTCTTATAGAAGCCATATGCAAGCGCCGTAGCCGTTGTCTCGTTCATCAGGCGCAGCACATTCAGGCCAGCAATTTGTGCGGCATCGAGTAGAGCACGACGCTCGGCATTGGTAAAGAAAACAGGGCAGGCAATGACGCAGTCATTGACCTGCGTTTGCATGGCCGCCGCCGAGGTTTCCTTTAATTTGGTGAACAGCATGGCCGTCAGTTGTTCGGGAGAGAAATGCTGATCCTCTTGCAAGTAGTTGACTTTGAAGCCAATGCTGCCATCATTGCGCGCCTCCACGCGCGCTGGAATGCTCTTGAGTTCGTGTTGTACATGTGGATCGTTGAACTTGCGGCCAAGTAAACGCTTGAAGCCGCCAACTGTGTTTTTCATGTTTGTCACCTGCTGGTTCTTGGCGGCAACGCCAATGATGCGCTTCTTGCCATCAAAAGCCACAACAGAGCTGCACAGAGAGAGAGAGAGACGTGAAAAGTAATGAGTAAAATGACAATACATAGTTTGTAGTTAAATCTTATCTTTCCGAGAAGCTCAGTTCTTATCAGAATACTTAAGCACATATGAACATTTATGCATTACAGCGGTTTTCTTGAGAGTGTTTGAAATGCTTCGCAGTCTCCATAGAAATTTATAGCTACAGGGTATACAACGCGTCAAATATGGTCCTGTTGCCACAACAAACTGAATCAAATAGGTAGGCACACATACACACATATTTATACACACAGATACGCATATGTGCATATACAAATAGCCGTATATGTATTAACATCTTGCATATGTATGTGCGATCGTGTTTTGCCGGCTTTGATTTTATTTTTGACAACTTTGGTGTGAACGCATTTGCTCTCGCACTCTATTTTCCCCTCATTTTTTTTTTACCGCAACAGCTGCTGTTGGTTTGCGCTCTCTACTTTGATGCTATTGACTGACCGCATGACGCATGCGATGATATGCGTGAGCCTGTGTGTGTGTGTGTGTTTGTATGTGTGCACATTGGCCAAATTATAAAAAAAGCATATTGGCAAAAGTGGAAATTACTCCCACGTATTCTACATTTATAAATCAAGATTCTTAGTCAAAAATTGGGCCGAAGCCGCATTGTATATGGAACAACGCGCAGTGCAACATCTCAAGGCGGCCTCTCATTAATTTGCAATGCTTTTTATGGAAAACAACCAGAGCCAAATTTAGGCCTGAGCCCACAATTGCATACATACATTTATGTATGTATGTATTTACTTATGTGTGCAGTATGTACATTTTACATGTTATATATACATATGATTATGGGTAGCTTTGTAATATTTTTTTCTTTATAAGCGTTACCAGTGACAACACTGGAAATTTCTAGGCGCGTATACAAGCATATACATATATATATATACACACACACACACACACACCTATGTTCGCACGCACACCAAAAGCTATTGGGCATGACTTACATTTGTACATAACCTCAAAGAAAAAGAGCAAACGATTATGCAGCACGAATTTAGAAGGCTTTGCTAATAAATAGCCAATAGAAGCAATAATCATAATCATGTGCCAGTTTTTGGATACTTACGGCGTTGCGCGCAGACTGTAGTCATTGGCAAGAGTCTCGATGCCGCCGGATCGGGCAGCCGCTACATAGCAGCCCTCGTTACCGAAATCGATGCCAATCACAGACATTTTTCTCTAGTTTCGACTGCCGATTCGTTTGATTAATTGAGTTAAACTAGTTATTTGGTTAGACTTTGTTGCCTAGATTTCTTCTGTTTGATTAAATGGGGCGGCTTTTGTTTTATTCTTTTCTTTCAGCAACTGTAAAAGAAAACAGAAAATTAGTTCAACATCACCAAACAAACACGCACACACGCGTCAATTTTATTTCAATTGACATATGATTCCAGAATTTCCTTTGATTTAGGCATTTTTTTCCATTAATTATGGATTTGCTAGTGGGTTGTCGATTTATAACACAAAAAGTGTTCATATAGACGCCCACGAATGTGTCCGTTTTGTTTTAACGATTTTTCATTGATTTTATCTCTGATAGTAATATTTACGCACATTTTTGCAGATTATATATGTAGACGCTTTATGCTTATTTTAACAATGTATAAACGCTTAAATTTTTCTACCGCAACCGACACGTTTTTTCAGCGTAATGAAAATTGAAGCGGCGACGTCGACGTCGACTGAGAATGGTAGCGAAACTTCTCGAAAAATGCCTATCGACCTATCGATGAATCGATATTGGCACACATTAATATCGCACTAATTCGATCTTACAATTTATTCGCGCCTTTAACAAGAAGATATTTAAAGAGCTCAATTTAAAAACCCTGTTGTCCCATGTACAGAGTATATGTTTTAGTTTTTATAAGTTATTGGGTAGATTGAAAATGAATGACAGGAATATCAAACTATTTTAGTCAGATTTCAACAGAAATTTTATTATACATATATATGTGTATACATTGTCATTTTAGTTTAAAACCAAGTGCGCAAAACAAATTGTAAGTAGGAATGGTTGAGTTCGATACAATACCGAGAAAAATTAAAAACTAATAAACTTAGACTAGATTGCATTTTAATGCATCTCAGGAATAATTTTGAACACATTAAATAATTAAGAGTGAGTGAGTAAATACCAGAGATTCGATGTAGAAATCAACTAAGATATTGTAACATTGAGTGTTTCTTCTGAATTTCAATTGTTTGTTTCGTTATCTGCAAACTCTTCTAGATATGTAGTACTAAGGCCTTGAGCCAACTCTATCGTTGTTCCGTTCTGTATGAAGTACGTGCGCAACTGCAACAATTCTTAAGGATTTGTCGGCGTTCGTAATCCATATACTGAAGGTAACGCGTTTCTAAGGTCACTAAGGTGCTAAACATGCTGTATATAAACAGTATTCAACAGGGAATGTATCTTGAAAGTGGATGGAGGTGTCTGGGTATTCAATTTGAGGGTTACTAATTGAGTCTTTTGCATTTCATTCGTGTAAATACTAAGCAGTCTTGCCGGTCCCAAACATGATCGTTGTCATCGTTATTGCTTAAGGCTTTCCGACTCACAGTTGAGCCACCAGTCCTGATGCAGATATATTATCTCCAGCGCCCGCTGTCTTTTTAGCCACCCGACATACTAGCACGGGCGCTACACAAATTTGTACTTCGATTCTTTGCAGCTCTTCGCCATATTGTATAAATTCGTTCCAGCAGGGCACAGGATTGGCTGCGCCAACGCGCATACGTGGTGCCTGCTCCTGGGCGGATGTTGCGAAGCTGTCGTCCAACACAAGCATCACCGATTCTGGATTAACCTATAAATGACATATTTCTTCGTTGAGTATGAGAGCAAATAAATGAATTGGATATCGCTCACAAACTGTGTTTTGCAGACATAGCGATGAGCTGTCAATGCCGCCTTGGCAGCCGCAGCCCGAGTATTCTTCCACTTCGAATTGGCTATGGTCAGAATGGCCTGATAGGCCAAGGTGTGTACGTGTATTCTAGAGACCATGCGACGTCGCGTGTCCGACTGGCGCTGTGCAGAGTAATCCTCCTGTAGACTGATAAAAACTTGTCGCATTTGATCCAGTGTATGAGCTACGCGTGGATTCCAGTCGGTGGCTAGCGTGGTGCGTCCGTTCTCCAGCACCTGGCGTAGATTTGACAGCTCTTGTTCGTTCATGCCCAGAGAGTCCACATAGGGCAGCACAAACTGTCGGAGTTGCTGCAGTAGCTGCAACTCTACATAGCTTGCGAACTCAAAATGTTGAAGCGTGTCCTGGGGCTGACTGGTCAGCTGAATTTGCACCTGCCGCAAGCGTGCCTCACGCACTCCAGGACTAAACTTGAACATGTCCATCATTTGCAGACCGCTGACTACCAGCAGCTGTGGGTTATAATGCTTTAATGCGTCCGTCAGCTGCTCCACCGATCTTAAATGCGGGTTATTCTTGTCGTTGTGCAGTATGTAACGATTGGCGCGTGGCGCCTCATATGGCCCCCATTTATCGCCAGCCTTGTATTCGAGTATAAGATGTATGTCATCATCAGGTATTTCATCGCCTGCCAGACGTATTTCCTTTGGCAGCAAAGGGCGTAATCTACAAAATGAATGTTAAATCTTATGCTAAAGGCACGCGTACGAAGCATACTTTTTGGACATGTGCGCACCCAACAGCACATCCGCTCCCTCCATGACGAAGCGCACTGCCATCAACGGCGCATTGCCACCCATATACCAATGGATGCGCTCCTTGTCCATTTCTTTGGCATTGCTTATCAGCTGCTTGAAGAGCGTGCCATTGGCTATAGCACGTCTAAAAAGTTTCAGTACATGCATATTAGTATATCTTCACATAGTTGTTGCAGTTGATGTACTTACTCGGCTGCGGCGCCGTTCTTAAAGTAATAGGCAAACGATTGCAGCAGCTCGTTTTCGTTGTTCACATCGGTTGCCGCAAAATCGGAGCGCACATGGGGCACGCGCATTTTGTAAAACTTCTCCAGAAACTCTGTAGCATTTACTTGTAGATCTGTGCAGGCGCCATAGCCAACAGCCACTTTGGGTGCCGGCTCAAACGCGGACCTCTTAAGACCGCCCTCAAGCGCCAGGAGGCCAGTCAAGAGTACGGTGGTCTTATTGAGTGCCTGGAGCGATAAAAATGCCTGCCAGATGATCGAAATGAATGCGGTGAACACCGAGCAGCCGGTTATCCAGCCCATGTAACGCAAGGCGCCCATTTTTCGCACGAAGTGGCCAGCAGTCAATCAATTTGTGCTTCTTGTTGGTTAACCGGCCCCAGCTTCGGCGTCTGGCTGTCTTTAAATATGCTTTCGAATGACACGCCGGCTGTCTCCGCTGCGTGTTTTGCTGATGTGGCTGCTGTTGTGGCAGTTGCCTGTTCTGCTGCGTTTGTTATCAGATCGAGTTTTTTTTAAAATGCGTTTTATTTATAGAGTGCGGCTTTATTAAAAGATAACGTCACAACTCCCATTTGCCGACAGCTAGAATCGCGAGTAAAAGTATCGATGCCATAAGCAGGGGTGTTCCCTATTGTGAGTAGGTGAGTATCCAAAATAATTGTTGCTTTCTTTTGAAGGCGAAGGCAATGTTACTTAAATTTGCTAAGCTGAATAAATGTAAATCCGGTTTTTCAGTCTCCTTAACTTTGTTTTGGCTTAGCAAATAATTAAATTATACAGGAACAGCATATTTCTTTTGTCATCTTATCCTTCGGCAGCACTGGGAACTCGAAGCATTTAACATGTCCACCAGGCAAGTACACCGAGGATACGCAAACGCGACAAACTTCATCCATGAGTTGTTTTGTGATCTTAGAATGATTAGTTGATTCGAATTATCCAATAAGAATACATACAATCGTATACATCGTTCGATACATCGAACATTTTATTTCTTCTGTATAAAATTCGATGTATCGATGTTTCAGCTAGATATATCGAGTGCCATTGATGGCGCTTGGTGATGGGCGCGATGTTTAAAATATATGTTTGAAACATTGAAACATTCCTAATATTTGGCTCGATTAATATTTAATAAGCCCAGTTCCACTTTGATTTAATTATCGAATGATATACATATAAAAAGGAATTATTCGTAGCCCACTGTATATGTTTAATATATGATATGATAATTCATATGAAAAAACGTACAGTCAACGTACTCTACATACACTACCTATGTGAGAAATGTTGACAGTGTAATTGGGCTAATTAATGACTCGAGGGGTAAAGATAAGTATATAATGTTGATAGTGAAGACTCGTTTATAATTTAGTTGTTTTTTGTAATTTATTATTATTATTATTTGAAGGAAGTTCCCCGCAGCTGGTATATCAAAAATCAGGAATACCAAAAATTTACTATTATTGTTAACTTTATGAGATACTAAAGTATTCCATAAGGTGGGCATACTCGATACTTCTTCTCCTCTTTGTATATAAAAGCCTGCGTTAAATACTATATTTAAAATAATTGTTAATTGCTGTCGACTAAACGATTTTAATGATTTTTATGGTGCTCAAGTACGTCATCGGCCATCGTTTCGCTTACAGGCCGGAATTTAAGACGATGCCACAAGCGTTGTGTCATTTAAGGCGGTTCCTTCTTGTTTTCTGATGTTGTTAATTTAAAACAAGTTGTTGCTTCATTGTTGCTTTTTTGCTTTAATTGCTTCGTGCCGTTATTTTTATGTATTATTGTATTATATTGAGACAAGGTTATTTAATGGCTACACTGGATTGTTTGTAGAGGAAGTGGAAGTGTTTGTCAAGTCGAGGGTGCCTGCCTCTGATGAGATATAATATGCACAGCTCTTAAAGAGCGCTTACCAAGTACTTTGAAGAGTCTTTCGACTTGGCATATTAATAACATATCATTGCGAATTACAAATTAGCAATAACCGATTTCATGTGTACATTTCGCACACACACAATACCTTTTGACAAGTTTAGTCACTTGGTCCAAAGGTTCATGCAGTAAGCCATTTTTTATAGCTGTGATAAAATCAACAAATGCCAATTAGAGACAGCTAAATTTATAAGTCTGTGCAAATTGTTCTGTCTCGTCGGTGCACGTACGCCTCATGTGTCCAGTTTTAATGTCTGCGTATTTTTCCCCAGACAAACCGTAGCTTGTCATACATTTTAAAAATCCGCAGATGATTCTCCAAAAAAGTCGATCCCGTTTCCCTTTCGAGCCCCTTTGCGCATTTCACGTTCTGGTCAGGCCTTAAAAACCGCTTTTCAGCACTTCGAAACGTTGCCATCTACCGGCTTTGGGTCTGGCCAGCGATAAGCACGTCTGCCATGTGGAGCGGCCGCTGTTTCTGGCTCAGAACTATTTTTAACAGCTCAACGAAAGTGAATTTCAGAATTTACGTTTTTCAGACGACGCGCCAGCCAACCGGCTCAACGCTATGCGACTTTTCGCATGCATGTGTGTGAGTGTGTGAACCGTTGACAACCAATTTTGATATCATATACCACGTAACCACATTGCGAGGGGGTGTATTCGTTCGCAGCTGCGACAAGCCCACACTTGAGTTAACATTTTAATGTTGCGCAACTTTCTGGCCTGAAGCCGGATGCTTGAGTGAGTATTTTATTCAAGACCTCAAACCTATCAAATATCCAGTTTGTTCGATTTCAAGTTAAATAAACCTTGCGTAATTTTGAATGAAATAGTTATACAGTTATTTAATAAGTCGAAATACTATAAGGAAACTTTTTATTATATATGGGCTGCCTTTTTTGCTGGGTATAAATATGTTTCTATATATTTTTTTTTTCTATACATATTGATATTGTACAGGATATGTGAGAGTCGTGCATATTGTTCATCACAATTCGCACTTAATTTGTATTGTATTTTGTTCTTTTTACGTGTTTCGTCTACTCGAACGTATATATATATATATATTTTTTTTTTAGTTGTTTTCCATATTATTTTATGCGTACTACGCTGTCCGGCTCTGTGGGCTATCCATATAAAATCAACATAATCAGAAATTCTACCGAGCAGTTGATTCTATGCGGTCGACGAAGCCGGACGCGCTGCCTTCTGGGGCTACAAGTTTATAATAAATAGAATTGAATAGAAATTTGTAATTGTGCAATTCTTTAGCTAGTTGCAAGATTTACCGGTGAAAGCAATCAAAGAGAATATATATACATATATATAGACATTCATTGTTGATCAGCAAATCGATATAAAATATATATGTCAAAGGTAATCTAGTTCTGTGTGTGCAGAGATCTAATTAAATTCTAGTAAATGTTGCGTCTTGTGCTTCCGATTGCATTTTCGTTATGTTTAATTTGGCGCGTTTGTTTCCTAAGTCTTTTGTTTTAAGTCTGTGCATTATGCGAAAAGGAAACAAATTCGCTATGTATACATATATATATATGAATCTTGTTCACAACTGGATTTAGCACGCGTATTCGGACCACTAATTTCGGCAACTTCCGCCTGCCAACCCATTAAAAATGAATTGAGTGCATAACATTTTCAAACATTTATCGTTCTTTCGTGGCAAAATCGGACCGAATCGATATACGTTTAAGAGAACGGGCTAGACATTTGTTTTGGCGTTCAGTTTTATGTGATTTATATGTGAAGCATATTTGAGACAATCAAGAATATGTTCTATTAACTAACTGAAAACATTTCGCGACTCAATGTCAAATTCCTCATGGACTTATGTTGCTTTGGATCATGATGACAAGTGCGAACTATTTGAGGAACATAACCGAACGAAGCTGTTCAAACAACTGGTCATCTATGCGAAACGTTTTCTAGAAGACACATTTGCATAATTTTTTATATATATGTATATGGTTTATCTCATTTTTGTTGTCAGATTCCTTTATGCTAGCTGCTTAAATTGGCCCAGCTGACAAGCTGACTAAGCATAAAGTGTGATACGACGGAAAGGCAAATCAAAACAAGCATCGCAAAGGTGAATAAACTAAACAAACGCCGATGTCTCTGTAATGAAATCTCTGCCGAGAACGGGTTCAGTGTCGAGGACGTCACCAACGATAGCAAGAGTCTTGCGTGACCAATAAGACCAGACATTAATCTCGACTTCTTTACAGCTGTAAAACACAATGGGCAGCTGGTCATTAAAGGAACTGTCACTCTGCCTACTTGTGCTGCTGCTGTTGGGCTTGACGGGCCGTGTGACGTCACAGCGCACGTCATTGGACGTGGCCTTGAGGAATGCCTATCGACCACTGCGTCTACTGGGCCTGGCCTTCAGCGGGCGCTCCGGCGACGAGCCGGCGAACGTGCAACGCGTGCGCAATGCGGGCGTAGGTCTTCGCTTGTTGCAGCAAATACTCGCAGGTTTTTATCCGTGTACGCTTTTTTTTTTCTCTTCTTAGAAAACCCAAAAGTCCAATCCGCGCACGCGCGCCCTGCTGCAGTTCTGTGATGCGGAACACGGACCTGGCCGACGCAGTGCGCAGCGTCCGTCCAGCGTGCATCGGTTGCGACCCGGCGACATAGACATTATCGCTGGCATGGGCGACTCCTTGACCGCGGGCAATGGCGTCTTTGCCACCAACCTGGGTCATGTCACCGTCGAGAACCGTGGCGTGGTTTGGTCCATTGGCGGACAATACAATTGGCGCAAGTATCTAACCTTGCCCAACATACTCAAGGAGTTCAATCCCAATCTCTATGGCTATTCGCTGAGGGATGGCTTGTCCACAGATCGTGCATCGCGCTTCAATGTGGCCGAGCTGGGCGCCATGTCCCGGGACATGCCCTACATGGCCAAGGTGTTGGTGAAACGCATGCAACGCGATCCGCATGTGAACATGACCCGCGACTGGAAGCTGGCCACCTTGTTTATAGGCAACAATGACTTCTGCTCTGACATTTGCTTCTATCCGCAGCCGGAGCTGACGATTGCAGGGCACGAGCGGAATATGCTCAAGACCTATCGCTATCTGAGGGACAATGTGCCGCGGCTGCTGCTCAATGTGGTGCCAGCGCCCAATCTGCGTTTCCTAACCAAGCTGTCCGGCCTGCCGCCCATTTGCAAGACCACCCTGCGCTTCGAGTGTCCGTGCCTGATGGGCAAGAGCAAGGAGCACCTGGATTACTACGAGGGCATCATGAAGCGCTGGATAGCCAAGGACTATGAGATTGCCAATAGGGAGGAGTTCAATACGGAGGTGTGTACAACCCATCTGAACTATTTGAAGCCTCCTTTCAATATATTCTATACACTCGGCAGACGTTCACCATCAATGTGCAGCCCTTTTCGCAGTTCGACGATTTCCCGCGCACGCGTTCCGGCTTGACGGACACGCGCTTCTTCTCCGAGGATTGCTTTCATTTGAGCCAGCGCGGCCAGGCATCCGCGGCCAACGCGATCTGGAACAATATGCTGGAAATGCCCGGCGAGAAGAGCGGCTTTAATGTGAATCTATTTGAGAAGTTCAACTGCCCCAGCGAGAAGCGTCCATTCCTGATCACACGAGAGAATAGCCGCGCCGATTTTGTCATCTAGTCGACAACTGCCTCATTATAAAATCCCATTCCGACTGTGATATGTCGCCTTAGTCTCGACCATACTTGTTTGTAGTATTCATTTACGCTTCGATCAATATACGCTTAGAAATTAGAAAACTTCACGACTTGCCTAATGCCTAACTCAAACGAAGCGCGCATAATTTATTGGCTACCCAGCAAAATCAGCTGGTGATATATATATATATATATACCATATTTTATATTGCCCGGCTGATATGGAACAGCGTCTGCATTGGAATGCGCGTGTTTTACACACGCAATTGAAGTCGTCGCCAATTACATTTCACACATAACAATTAGTCAGTAGGGTCACTCACAAATTGATATCAATTTGTTTAGTGAAAAGTCACAATTAAAGGCAGAGGAACTGCAAAGGCCGAAAGTATGATAACCCACGATCTAATCAAAGTGGGAAAAAAATAAATGTAGCCCGCAGTTTGTGTATGCAAATATTTCCGGCTTGCAATATTTTCAGAGCAGCGGGCAGCTTTAGATTAAAAAATAGAATGTTTATTTAAAATGCTGAAAAATGATCTGGCTTTGAGGCTTAAAGCTGGTTCAAACCGCCAAATCATTTTATACTTAGTTTGCTACCCTCAATAAACTTTAGCACAGTTATCATGCTTACATTTTTATTTGAATAGAGCAACTTATCGAACCAGAAAGCTGGTTCAAATCTAAGTTTCTTATTTGCAGCCCTGATTACATTTAAGTTGTCTTCATGCTGAAGTTTTTATTGACATTTCGAATCGGCAGAGCCCAGTTACACGAAGCGCCCCTTAAGGCAGAAGAAAGCTGGTTCAAATCCCATAAATATTTTTGTTATGATTGGCAGCCGTGATTACTTTTTAGCGCAATCATCATCCGGCTGATATTTTGATTGATTTCTCGAAACACCCTCTGACAACTGTCAGCACAACTGTCGTGTGCCGATATCGGCTCGACTTGTGTGGCCATAAAACTTGTTACAAATGTTTTTTAAAATGCACATTAAGCACCAAAACAACAAGCCCGACTCATAATAATGGCCAATTTTTAATATGGAGACGTTGCCTCGGAACGTGTTTTCGCGGCTAATAGCCGCCCATTTGTGCGATGATCAACGGTTTCGCATGCAAGTGCCAAAAGGTAAATGAAATAAAAACATCAATTACGTTATTTTCTGCTTCATCTTACTCGCTTTTCGAGCTGATTGCAGCACTTTATAAAGCTGCCTGCAGACACCCCCACCCCTCCTGCCCCTCCCAGACCATATAATTCGGTCAGTGTTAAGGTTAATGCCAGGCGTTGTGCGGCAGCACGACTTTCTAGTTGACTTTGAACTTGAGCGCGCGACTGAAGCACACATTTGATTACAGGGTATCGTCAATTAACTGTTTTACGTCAAAGCCAATTAGTTATTCACTTTATCTATGCACATACTCTCGGGTTTCGCTTATAGACTGAATAGGGTATATTGGTTAGCTTGTAATATGCGCTGTCCGTTTGACTTTCATTTTGGAATATATACACACACTATGGGCGTGGCAGATCGGCTTAATCTTCGCTAAATAACAATTCCATACTATCTAGGAAAAATTGTTATTTTTTCTAATTGTTGGCTTCGCTAAGGGGTATCGCTTAGTCGGCCGCACCCGACTGTAACATTCTTACGGTGCGCTTTTCGCTACGTATTTTAGCTGCGCATGGCCAGCTTGTTTCGCAAGTTCTTGACTGTTTTAAGTCACATCAAAGTCGCACAAAAAGTTTTGTAATTTTGCTCAAACAGATTTTGGATGCTTTTTTTTATGATAAATGTTTCACAGCTTTTAATCACTTCTTTGTCAAAATGTTCAGAAATTATTTAAGTTATTTGTCCCGCATCAGGTTTCGAATATTATTAAATATGCTAATTTCCTAATTAGTAATTATTAGTCATTTTATTAATAGCTCTGTTTACGCGTGTTCAGTATTTGCGTTTGCTAACTTTTAAGCGAATATATTTCGCAGTTAATTATATTTGTTTATATCTCATTTTCAAGCTAACAAATAAATTAATAACATATCAACAAAAAGTATTTTATATAACGTTTTAGCGAACGGCATTAAAATAAATATAAAATTCTGTTTAACTGGCGCCATCTATTTAATTGTAAGTGTAACTACATTATTGCGGTCAGTGTGTACCTACAAAATGAATTAAAGACTGCTAGTTCCGCAACGCCACAATAGATGGAGCTAACATTTGAATTGTTTTCCTTAACTTGAAGCAAAAACTTTAAATTTAAATATTTTTTAATAATCAGCGCAGCAAATAATATTTCCCATAAAATTAAAAAAAAAAAAAGACAAAAATAAACAAAAATAAATGAAATTTCTTTATCAATATATATATATGTGTTATTTTATGAGCAAGGTTTTTTATGAGCCCAAAGCAAATTCGACTTTTTTTGTTGCAGTGTTTTTCAACCAAGTCTGAGACTTGTCACATTAATAATAATGTGCTGTGCTTTTCCACTTGAAAAGGTCTTTAGCAATAACATTGAAAATCAAATTTTGGCAAAGAGTTTCGAGTTTTTCTGCTGTATTCAGCGCAAAAGCGAAACCCACAACAAAACGTCTGAAAGTGAAGCGAAATGGCGAATTGTGCTTAGCAATGCAATTTGTTTGAAATGTTATAAATGCTCGGCCCCCATGGCAAGACCAAAGCATTTCCATAAAATAACCCGCTCTCAAGAGTTGACATCATGGCAGTCGAAAGCAGGCAAATTCAAGCAGCCGCAATTATATTCTTGTTGGGTAAGTCGCAAATTATGTTAGCCGTACGGGTTTCACGATTATAATGAATTTCCCGATTTTCGCAGCCATGCGGCATTGCTGCGGCCTGCCCTACGGCTCGGCTGGCAATGATATTGACATTGATGGCAACTACCAGGGCACAGGGGGTGGCGGCGCCAACGGCAGACCCATTGACTATCACACGGTTGTGGGCCACTTTAAAGACTTCTTTATGTATCTGCCGGTGATGATGACCACAATCAAGGAAACCATGTCCGGTTTTCCCAAATTTGCCGAAGGCATGCGCATATTAACCTCCGGCAAGGGCCGGGTCGACGGCGAGGATTGCAAGTGCAATCAGAACAGCCTGGGAATGGGCTCCAGCAGTGAGGTGCTCGAAAACAGCAGCCGCTTCCGTTGACCCAGTCACGATTTGCTAGTGTATATAGTTCGTGTAGATACTAATGACTACCTAGTGCCAAGTAAAATAAATTATACATCTTAACTTAGGTTTAGTAAACTTAAATAACTCTATATGATATAACAAGTTTAATAAATTATATATTTTATTCTTAAATTCCCACTCAAGGTAGACAAAGGGGAATACAAAAGTGAGCGTAAGAGCAAGAGAGAGAGAGAGAGAGAGAAAGAGAGAGAGAAAGAGAGAGAGAGAGAGAAAGTAGGGTAAGGTTAGCAATTCTTAAAAGGTGAAAGTCAGTTTACAAGAGTTTTCCACCAATTTTCCACACTTGAGGGCGGAATTTTGCGCTGAAATCACATGAGTAACTACTGTGCGATCAATCAGCAGGTCAGTCAATTTATCCGTTCATCAGTCAGTCGATCAGTGGGCTTGTCAATCAAACAGTCAGTGAGTTAATCAATTAGTTAGCCAGTGCAGTCGGTCAATCAATCAATCAATCAAACCAATTAAGTCAGTTAATCAATCATTCAGTCAATCAATCAGTCAGTCTGTCGGACAGTCAATCAATCAATTCTGTCAATCAATCAATCTGTCTGTCCGTCAATACAAACAGTTATTCGTAGAGCAAAAATGGACTTACATTTCATTTAAATTTGTTTGTCATGTTCTTTTACTAATTACGAATCGTGAATATTTCACATTTCTGTGTAATAAACTGTAATTGTGACATATTAAGCCATAACTTTGGCTATTAGACAAGCGCATTGTGTAAACTTGACCCACAGGACTCGCAGTGTCCTTGAGCTTATATAAGCACACGCTTCTTGGGCAATCTTCTATGGCCCATTAGGCAATAGGCCAACATGCGTGGACTTGAACTATATTTGTATTTTCTTAAGCAGTCAATAGTTGCGACGTTTCATTAGCCAGACCATGTGTGGATTTTGTGCCCGCCAGTATAGAAATCATATATGGCAGCTAATCAAAGCTGACAATCTGCATGGGACCGAGGCAGTAGCAGGCACACTCCTATGTGTGTGTGTGTGTGTGTGTGTGTGTGTGTACCGCCATATTTACACTTGTCATTATTGTTAATTGTGTTTGTTGTGGGTCAAGCATACAAGAGCCATATTTACACATGCATATGCAGCGTTTGGGTTCATAGGAATTGTGGTTTTAGTAACGCTCGAGTCTCTGGGTCTAACGGTACGTTGTGAAAACGGCAACTGTACCCGGCTGGAACCAGTATGCGAAAGCGCAAAAAGCCAGCCAGTTACTAGAGCAGCTAACGGTAAGTGTCTGGCTTAAATGGCTACGGGTATCGAGCTGCTTGTGGCCGCCGCACTGTGCCTGGCCTGCCCACCGATTAACGATACCCTGCCAGCGGATCTGATACAACTGAACGAGGATGGGAGCCTGGTCACAGAGCTGCCCATAGATGTGGCGGCGGCGAATGTGGGACTGGACGAGGATGCGCCCATTGAAACGCTGGAGGTGATACGCAACAAAAAGGAGAAGCTGCGCAATATGCGGGAGTGGATAAATGGGAAACATTTGCGCATTGCCACGCTGGAGGATTATCCACTGAGCTACACCGAAATGCTCGACAATGGCACTCGGGTCGGTCGCGGTGTTTCATTTCAGATCATTGGCTTCCTCCAGGAGAAGTTCAATTTCACCTACGACGTGGTTGTGCCGCAGGACAACATAATTGGTTCCACGACAGACTTGGATCGCAGTCTCATCGAAATGGTCAACAATAGCGTAAGTGCAGAGCATCCCTTCAATCCTGTGCCCATATATCAGTAAGTCTTCCATGACAGCTGGTGGATCTGGCCGCTGCCTTTATACCCTCGCTGTCGGAGCAGCGCACCTTTGTCTTCTATTCGACGACCACGCTGGATGAGGGCGAATGGATTATGGTTATGCAACGGCCGCGGGAGTCTGCCGGCGGCTCTGGTTTGCTGGCGCCATTCGAATTTTGGGTCTGGATACTCATCTTCGTCTCGCTGCTGGCCGTTGGACCCATCATTTATATGCTGATCATAATACGCAATCGCCTGACGGGCGATTCAGTGCAGCAGCCCTATTCCCTGGGCCATTGCGCCTGGTTCGTCTACGGTGCACTCATGAAGCAGGGCAGCACCCTCTCCCCCATCGCAGGTGAACTAGCAATTAACCCTAATGCAGCGATAAGCATCGGCCATTCGAGCTGCATTGCAGCCATGTGCCGGCGATTCGATTCACTGGACATGCAATCGTCGAGTTTGTCGTTTCAATTAAAAAGTATCTCTATATACTATGTACTACTCTATATTTAATCGCAGATTCGACACGCCTGCTCTTTGCGACCTGGTGGATATTTATTACAATTTTAACCTCGTTTTATACCGCCAATTTGACTGCATTTCTGACCCTTTCAAAGTTCACACTGCCCTTCAACACGGTGAACGATATTCTCACAAAGAACAAACACTTTGTCTCCATGCGAGGCGGCGGCGTGGAGTACGCGATACGAACGGTGAGTTTTTATACACTTTACATATATGGGGAGGATTTTCAGCCAAGTATGGATGAAATTAACTAATTAATTATTTGATTAATTAATTCCCATTTTATATAATTATATTTTACTAGGACATCAACCGGGGCTATATCTTAAATGACTTAGCATAAATTCTATATATATAAATGTATATGTGAATATGCACTTACCCACAAATTCCATGACATCTATTTATAGGAGAGGGAAAGACTTCTATTTGAGCACATCACTGAAAAATATAGTAAGAGAACAGATTAGAGCAGGAGTAAAAACAGCGAGAAAGAGGGAGATAGAGAAAGAGGGAAGCAGAGGTGAAGAAAGAGAGAAAGAAAGCGACAGAGAAGGGGGAGAGATAGAGAGAGTAAGTGAAATAGTGAGGGAGAGAGAGAGGGCAGAGAGGGATATAGAAAAGAATAAGCTGATATAATAGATAGTTGATTAGATTGGCAGCAACACTTATTCAGTTACTATCCATGAATGAAAGCATGCGAGCCTTATTCATGAATTCATGAGAATCGCATAGAGGGGCTATTCGTACATATGAAAATAATATTTAACGTAATTATTTAAAGATGAGTTTGAGAAAGATCGAAGGAATAATGAAATAGTTTTTCACGCATTTTCCGACTTTAGGGGAGTATTTCTGAAATTGTTGAAATACATTTTAATTTTAATTGATCTATAATTGTTTTACCCCTTTTCTTTCGTAAAGACCAACGAATCGCTGTTCATGCTCAATCGCATGATTCAGAATAATTACGCCGTATTCACGGATGCCTCCAACGATACATACAATCTGCAGAACTATGTGGAGCGCAATGGATATGTGTTCGTGCGAGATCGACCGGCGATCAATATATTGCTGTATAGGGATTATTTGTATCGCAAGTCAGTCAGCTTTCACGATGAGAAGATTCACTGTCCGTTTGCCATGGCCAAGGAGCCATTTCTGACCAAGAAGCGAACTTTTGCCTATCCCATCGGCTCGAATCTCAGCGAACTCTTCGATCCCGAGTAGGTTCATTAATTTGTTTACATATAATCATTACAATATATATAAATATATCATTTTTAGACTGCTCAATCTGGTAGAGTCCGGCATTATTAAGCATTTGTCGGCCAGGGAATTGCCGAGCGCCGAGATTTGCCCACAGGATCTGGGCAGCACCGAGCGCCAGCTGAGAAACGGTGACCTCATGATGACCTATTACATAATGCTGACCGGCTTTGCCACTTCACTGGTCGTGTTCACCACGGAGCTGCTGTTCCGCTACATCAACGGCCGGCACGAGGCCAACAAATGGGCCAGACACGGCATCGGCCGCACACCCAATGGCCAGTCCGTGCGGCCATCGCGTTGGCTGCGCGGCCTGCGGCGCCTACACAGCGGCGACAAACAGCTGCTGGGCAGCTCCACACATGCCCAGAATGTGACGCCGCCGCCACCCTATCAGAGCATCTTCAATCATGGCGGCGAGCATCTGCACGGTGGCCAGCAGCGCTGGCGTCAGGCCGGCAGGGAGCACGGCCTAATTCTGGGCGGGCATCACAACGGGGCCGGAGTGCGACGCCTGATAAATGGGCGCGACTACATGGTCTTTCGCAATCCGAATGGCACCAGCCAATTGGTGCCAGTTCGATCGCCGTCGGCAGCTTTGTTTCAGTACACATATACGGAGTAGTCCAGTTGGAATTTTATAAAATTTTTGCATTCTTTTGCTTGAGTACGAAATTGGGGAATCCAAGCCCCGTCAAGATAGAAGACAAAACATTTCTTAAGATACAAACACAGTTAGAAGCACCCGAGCACAGCTAGACGTAGACAATGTTTTGGTATAGTTTAAGAAGTCCTCTAGAAAATGCGCGAGATTTATTTAAAAAGTAAGGGACAGAGAATCACCCGAAAAGTTTTGAGTACAGCTCGTGTATTTACGGAGTTATCTGGAACTTTGATGTTTTTCAAGCGAACTTTTAGAAACAATTTCGAACGCTGTAGATTAAAGATACTTGCAGACTTATAAATACGGTATTTATATATATATCTATACCCAACCCAATTTCCTATAATATATATAGATTTCATATAAAGAGAAGTTAGCTTGAGATTTGAATAAAGATCAAAAATAGAAATACTTGATGGCCACATTAAGGTTACGTAGTTGGTGACAAGTGAATACCCTGTAAAGGGTGAAAATGAAAAAAATTAAATTGATTCGAATTTGAAATCTAAACATCCTCCATATAAAAGGGAGATAGATGGAGATATAGAAGCTTAACAAGAATATAAATAGTTGAAGGGTTCGCAAATATCTCATGAAAGGTCATTTCATGATAAAAGAAGGGTATAACAAGATAAGAGAATGAAATGAGTTCGAGTTTTTTTATCTAACAGAAATCTAGTAAATAAAACATCAAAGTTTCTCTAACTTTATTAATTAGCAACAATTCATGAATTATACAATATTTTTAGCTCAATCACAATAAATTTCTAGCTGTTTTGTGAGCAACTATTTATCCCGTTTATTCAACCTAGTCTAGAGTTCCATGGGCATTGAAGGCATAGGAGTTGGAGTGCAGGTCCAAGCTGCTGTGCGAGGAGCACGAGCTGATGGAGGGCGCACGCGTGGAGCCCGCCGAGCAGCTGGAGCTATTTGATCCGCTGGAGGAGCTGACCCAGGCATGACCACTACGTCGCCGACGTCGCTGCCGCACCAGACCCAACACCGAGCCCGCAACAGGTGTGCTGGACGTGGCTGCCCGGCGCTGGGAGCGTTGCGAATCCAACGTGACCAATGCCGTGGCAGGCCGTGATTCGGTTGCAGCGTGACTGTTCTGATGGTTCTGTGGTGCCGACTCCGAATCGCTGGACAGGGAACTGTGCGTATCCTCCGGCTCAGCTGCCAGTTCACTCTCAGCTTGAATGGGCTGTCCGTCGAGCAGCTGTAACGTGGCCACGCTGCGTCTGAGCACATCGCGATAGAGTGGCAAACGGCAGACGGGATTGCCAGACAGATCCAGCTCCCGGAGCTGCGGGCACAGGCCCAGAAACGTGAGCAGGCCCAGTTCGCTGATGCGATTGTTGCGCGCCTGCAGCATCTGCAGCTGGCCCAGATCCGTCAATGGACCCACGCGCTGTATCATGTTGCCATCCGCTATTAGCACTCTCAGGGCTGGCAGGCCGCTGGTGCCATCGAAGCTATTCAGTCCGCAATTGCTGATGTTCAGGTGGTTGAGCTGCGTCAGGCCGTAGCCGAGATCGCGCAGAGAGCTCAGCACGCTGCCGCTGAGATCCAATTGCTGCAGGCGTGGCAGGAATAGCGAAAGTCTCGACAGGCTCACCGAGTAGGAAATAACACGCAGACGCACCGATTCCACATGCTCCAGATCCGTGCGCTGCGTCACCCGACGCTACAAACATGCACATGGTCAGAGAGAGAGAGAGAGAGAGATTCATTGATGCCTCTAGTTAACACCCTTACCAGGAGCTCATCCAGCGTTGGCTCTGGCAGCTGTGGCGGCAGCACCACGGGCAGCAGGTGCACAAAGGCTGGAAAGTGTTCGGTCTCCTCCAGAATGGGCACATCGCGATCGTAAGAGTTTCTGCGTCCCATTTGGCGACGATTTTGCCGTTCCACTTGCAGTTGCTGTAGTTGTTGTTGCTGTTGTTGTAGCCGCACCTCAGCCGGAGGCGGGCGTAGCTGCGCCAGTGCGGCTGGTCCTGGCAGCGGAGCCAGCAGCAGCGGCAACTCTGGCTGCAGTGAGTGCTCCGGCGAGGATTCCGCGTACTCGGCGGGCGCTTCAAGCAGCGGCATTTTATTGTAGTCTAGTCTATTGCGTAGTTTTCGCCTGAACTTTGCCCGCGTGTCCGTTTATTGACAAAACAATTCAGTCCAGTTGCCCGGGGCAACGCAGCGCTGCCAGGGTTGCCACAGTGCTTTCCTTTTGATTAACTGGAATGTTGACTGTTCTGTTTGCAGGGTTCCATTAATACCTTTTTTTTATTTAATGGAATTCTTTTTCAAATATTTTCCTTTTTTTTTTTAGCAATTTTCTAAGAACAAGTTCGTCAAACACTTTTAAGGCTAAATTCTTGCGATTTAACCTTTATTCTTAGTCAGGAAGGTTCTCTAATTTAAAATCCATCGTCATTAAAGCTTTTACACATATAGAAGGCAAACATGATATTCAGATCTTAATTATCTAAAAAAATTTGGCAATGCCCCAACATGCCGTTACTTTTACTTTGCTCTCTCACGATTGCGGCTCACTGACGTCAAACTGTGACGTCACGGTCGTGACGTATGCCCAATGTCGTTAGCTTGCCGCTGCCTTGCACTTAACGCCAGAGCGCATTAAGGGCCAGAGCCAAGCGAGACAGAGCCGGACAGATGGGCTGAGAAGGTGGGAGAGGGAGAGGCAGAGATATAGAGTGAGCTCCATGCGACAGTTCAAGTGGCAAACGCCTTTTGGCATTTCGGAGACCGTTAGCTGAAGCCTTCGCGAACGATTCGCGAGTTGTTTTTGCTTTGCGTGTCTGCTGCAGCCAGACGACGCCTCTGCACGCTTTACGATAATAAAATTTTGCCTGACGCCTTTAAATGGCAGCGCTGAAAAAAGCTTCAGCCGGCTTTTGTGCCAGGCTCGTTGTTGTTTTGGTTCGAAAGCTTTCGCGATTGACGTCATCAACACGATGTACAGGCTGAAAGCTGCGCAGTAGCTTGAACCAAGCTGAGACGTTTCCACGCATTTATCGATTAAGTAGAGCGCGGTGAGTAAGGGTGTGTGAGAGAGAGACAGAGAGAGAGAGAGAGAGAGAGATGGCGTGTGCTTAGCGCGATAGTTGTGTGGGTGTGCTAAATGTCGCAAAAAACACGACAGCTGCTTTGTTTTAACAAATCCCGGCGCTGGGTTGGGCTTACAACTGCCTCAGCTTGGACCAGCCACACACATACATATGCACATATATATATATTGAGAGTCAGATGATATGCAGAGAATTGTCTACAATTTGGGGCATATTGGGCAAATGTTAGTGGGGGGGAAATATATGTAAATATTCTTAATAGCCTGCCGTTTATTCATGTTTCGCTCAGTGTAGCCATACGCAAAGCAGCTGACAAGGTTTTGGGGCAAGGTGTTGCTAAAAACAAAAATCCCCCAACTTTGCTTACACTGGCGGCTGTCTAAAAATAGAATTTGTCAATAATGCCAGCACACAGGCCATGCATGTGTGCGTGTGTGTGTGTGTGTGTGTGTGTGTGGGCGTTAATGCTCACGACGCACAGCGACTGACGTCATTGTGCAGAGCTTTTGCTGCTGCTGCTGCTGCTGCTGCTGCTGCGCTCGTTACTACGTTTCAGGAAACAGGACACAAACAACAAGCAACCACCACCGAATGCGACCCAGGCCAGCGCCAGCGCCAGGGCATTTCGGTTTGGGCCATTTTGCATTGCCGTCTCGGCCAGGCCAAGTCAGTCGCTTAGCAGCCGCGAACGCGAGCAAAACACACGGTTCCCAAGTCTCCACCGGGCGACCTTCATAGAGAAACCACAAAATTTTAAAAAGTGCTCTAAGTGAATTGTCATTTGTCAATTGACAAAGGGCTAATACCAATTTAATTAAGCCTGAAATTTAAGCCGTGGCTAATGCAATAAACTAAAGAAATAATATAGAAATTCCCGAAGGCTGTGTGCGTGAGCGTGTGCTCGTGTGTGCGTGTGTGTGTGTGTGTGTGTGTGTGTGTGTGTGTGTGTGCGGGCGTAGCTGCAGCAAGCGCGTGCAACGTTTTCAGCTGCTGCTGTGCATAATTATTTGGGTCAAAGCGAAAAGCTGCAGCCACAAACTTGACTGCACAAAAGTTCAAACATCCTGCCTGGACTAATCCACCTGTTATGAGGCCACGCAGCAGCTTATGCGACAAGTCAGCCGTTGCAACAACAACAACAACAACCACAACAGCCTAGACTAATTGGATTGACAGAATTCGAGAAAATGGAGGCCACTCAGCCCAAGGTGCATCGTCAGCATCAGCGACAGCGGCGCACCGAGGCGCGTCAGCGGCGCTTGGAACGTGAGGCAGCCGCAGCGGCCGCAACGCCGCCCGATCTGGAGCTGGAGGCAACGTCCGTGGTGGAGACGCTGGAGAGCTGTGCGGCGGCGCTCAACGATACAGCATCGATGACAACAACAACAGCGGCAGGAACAGCAACGACAGCGGCGGGTCGCATTAGCGCGCAGAGCTCGGCGGATAGCATTGAGATGGTCGGCTCACCCAGTCAGACCTCACAGCAGACGGTGGTGCTGGTCAATGGACATGCCCCGCCCACGCAGGACACGCAGGAGGAGAGTGTTTCCCTGGGCGCTGATGAGCCGCTGGGCGCAGCTGTCGCTGCCACGCACCTGGAATCGCCCACGCAGCCAAAAAAGCAAAGCGATGGCAGCCGCAACTCGTCCGGTGATGCAATGAGTCTGCGGGAGACACTGCGCCAGCTGCCGGCTACGCACGGACATCGCTCGCGGCGCACACACTCGCCACAGTCTCCGGCGCTGCGCTCGCTGGAAGTCGACTCGTCCTTCCATCGCGGCATATTGGGCTACATAGATCGCGAGCTGAAACAGTGTTCGCCGACTCCCTCGGCGCTGAGCATGGGCGCGGGCAGCAGCGGAGCCGGCGGCGGAGGAGGCAGCGCTAGCGGCGGAGCCTCGCGCAAACAGCAATCGCTGTCAGATCCGCAGGCCAGTCCCGCGCAACGTTCGCTGCGCTCGAGGAACAGCTTCGACAAGAGTCCACGCCGCAAGCGTAGCAAGTCGGAGTCACGCAGGAGGCGCGAGCGGAAGCTAATAGCTGCCGGCGAGATGGAGGTGCGCCAGGCTAATGAAACCCTGATGCGCTACCTGAAGCAATGCTCCGATATGCATGATGCCTCGCTGTCGGGCGAACTGGAAATTGATCAAAGCCTCGAGGAGCGTCGGGTGCACCGCAAGACGAAATCGCAGCGGGACAAGCGGGGCCAGCTCATCAGTAAGTAACAGAGCAGCAACTCCCAAGTCCCAGTCCCAGTCCCAGTCTCAGTCTCAGTCTCAGATTGACCAAATTGTATTCCATTCAGAAAAAGCTTTTAACAGCCAACAAATACGATTCTGCGCAGTTGTGTGCCCCACTCCTGCTCCAACTGACTGACGCACTCTCTCTCTTTCTCTCTCCCTCTTGCTCTCACCTGCAGGCAAACTTTACTCAGCTGGTGGTCTATCCTCCATACTGAAGGAACTGGCGGATGACATTGCGCCCGCCGAGGGCGAGGAGATCTACAATCCATTCACTCCGGTCGTCTCGCCCACGGACGATACGCCCGCGCACATCGACAAAATGTTCCTGCAGACGTCATCGGGCTATCGACCAGTGGAGCAGAGCTACTATAAGCGTTCCTTTGTCGGCGCGTCGCGCAGCGCAGCTGGCACCAGCGGCAGCTGCATGGGCATCGATGGCATCTCGGCCGCAGAGCTTGGCGGCGCCGGACGTCTCTTTCGCTCCAACGGCGGCACAGCCAGCGGTCGTGGCAGCTATGGTGATTCGCGCTGTCTGCTCGATGCCGACCAAAATCGGTGGGTTAACTCAGACACCGGCGTGGGCGTCCAATCCTAGCGTCTATTGCGTGCACATAAGCCAGCGTTTGTGGGCTATTTTTAGTTGCCCTGCCATTCCATTCAATTTGCCAATTTGTGCTTTGTTTCCTTGCCCCGCAATGCAAGTTTGATTTCTATTCGTGCTTATCTTGTCTTGGCCTGTTTATTTTGGGATCTCAGCGGGGCTTACATATTAAGCTCTTTTGTGTGTGCTAAAATTGCGCAAGAATCCCAGAGCTCAGTTTGTGGTCAGGGGCTTAGATGCTATTAGAAAAGGCAACCCACATTGAAGAGAATATAATGAATGGGATATGCTTTTATAATGCATTCCCAAGTACGATTCATATTAGATTATTCCTAAATCAGATATTGAATTCCTTAAATAGATAACAGATTTTTGATGCGAGCAATAAATCTATATGAAAGCAGAAGGTAATGATGAAGCACGGCTCGAATCTTAGGCTAATGCTTGGGCGTAGTATTGACTTAGCCGAGGCAGGATTTAGACACAGATAACATAATTTTTGTTAGAAGTATATGCACCTAATTAGGCCTATGTAGGCATTCAATGGGCTGCTAATTAGGCGTATAATTTTAATATAATATTTAATTAATTATTTTAGCTTTTTATTAGGTACTTTCATTTATCTGAATCCCATTTTATTCGACACTTTTTAATGAATCTTCATTTTTTTTTGAAAATTTGTAGCAATGGCATCTCAAGCAATATTCAACTTGCCTGTGTTATTCAACGAATTTGGCTGCTCGTTTCAAACATATGCCATGGGCTGCTAGCTGGTCTAGCCTTGGCCCATCTGCTCTTCGTGCTGAGCAGCCATCCCACGGATTGGGCAAAGGTCATCAATAGCATGAGTCTTGCGGGCGAGACGACGGCAGCAACAACAGCATCGGCAAACGCAGCCACAACCACCCAAATGCCAAGCTTGGGCATAGAACTGAGCAATGCTGCAAAGGGAGCGGACTCTGTAGCGGGAAGAACGACAACCACAACGACGACGACGACGACGACGACGCCGACGACGGCAGCGGCGACAAGTGGAGAAGCCCTGGCACTGATCAGCGATTATGCGGGATTTGCGGATATATATCTAAATACCTTTTACTGCTTGGCCATTATTTGTCTGGTTTCGGTGTTCGATCGGTAAGTGAAAGTGTGATAAGTATCTCTTACATCTTAACAGTGGGCACAATTAGTTTGTTTACGAGTCCTTCGCTAAATATAGAAAGTGAAAGTCAAACTCATTTACTTGAAGTACTCGCTGCGGTGTGCGTGCTAACAAAGTGCCAAGAACACATTGACCTCAAAGCAAGCCGACTGCCCAAGGTGGAAACCCTTAAAGCGACCCGCACATTTCATTGAAAAACAACACACACACGCACACTCACACACACACACACACACACACACATACGGGCAGACCTGCTGTCAAGAACATATGAATAGTAGGCAGCCAGTAAATTCTGGGCAACACAATGCCCAAGTGTGTCGCGTGGGCGTGCGTTGTGTGCGTCAATATTGCCACTTGGCGGCGCTGAAAAGTATGCTATACTTAATTTTGAATTGCAAATTTCAAGAGCTGCTCGGCTTTGTTTGGCTTCGTGGCTGTTGTCAGTTGTCAGTTGTCGGTTATTGTTGCAATAATGTTGCGTGGCCAATTTCATCATCTACAGAAACACATATTTTTTAATGCCCTTAAACTTTGCTCTTTTGCCCACACACAGCCTGCGCTCACCGCGCTGACTGCGCTGCTCGCTTTGCTGCACTCTTGACCTTTAAAGCCAGCGACCGTTAGTGTGTGTTTGTGGGTGAATTTTCGGGTCGTTTTGGCACTGAAAGTGTCTGCTGTTCAGTTCTCGGTTTACTGTTTTTGGCCATTGCCATGGGACACTCCACTTTCCCACTTTCACACTTTCCTATGCTCGAGCGGCAGCGGTGAAAGTGCAAAAAGTCAGTCTGACATTTCGCCTCGTTATCCTGTGCTGCTCTGTGATTTATGTGATGCTGCTGCTTTTTTATTCGTTTCCTTCTAAATGTCATTGGTGTATAGCTTCGCTTGTACGTGGGCATCACAAGAAACTTTTGACCTTTGACATCTTTGTGTAATCTACATATGTATATACCGCAAGGAAATTATACTGTTTGCCATTTCACTCAAGATATTAATTTAATTAGTATGAATGTCAGAATACTTGGCAGAAGTGCGAGCAATAAAAGCAATGTGCGCAGCGAATCAAGATTTCAGATTTCAAATAAATTGATTGCCGCAATTAGATCTAATTATTTTTTATCTTTCCTTTTCATTTCCAGCATGGACATTTGTCGCTGGAGCTTCTCGAATGCCAGCGAATTAATATCTTTTCGCTGGCTTATCATCACAATGCTCTATATTGCAACAATAATCCTAACCATATGCTCCGATTCCATTGACGAGAAACTCTATCTGATCAATAACAATGCAAATATAACGCTAACACAACAGGAGTTGGTAAGCCACAAAATCCCTTCCACATGTCCTTATACTAATCCGCATCGATCCTTAACAGCTAAGCAACAGTGTGCAGAGTGTTTGGAGTAGTCTCTCGGTGACGCGCAGCATTGCTGCGATATCGGGCTGGATTATGATCGGACTGACGCCCCAGGAGGATATGCTGTATGAGCATCTGGTTGATCTAACCAAATATCAATTGACAAATAATTGAATTTAAGTACGAAACCAACAACAATTTAACTATTGTATATATTAATATATACATATATATATACAGTATGTGTAGTGGAAATCTTTAACTAACTAGTTGCTGTTGTTTAGTAATTGGCTTTTTATATTGTTTATAATCGAATATCGACTATTTAAAAACAATAATGCATAGAGATTGTATACCCAAAATGAGAAAAGGAAAACAAAAGAACTTAAGCTTTAAAAAATGTGAATATTGAACATCTGCAATTGCGATTGCGATGATGCCCTTCACTGGCCGCTAGAACAAAAGTTTAGTTTGTTAAGAATACTCAAGTTGGTAGAAACGATAGACACCACATAACTTATATGAAATACATATGTGTATATAAAGAGCTAGATATATATGTGCTTATATGCCTACATATACGGATTATATAGATATGCGTATGCATACATGTTTTAATATTTTAAGTAAACATATCGACTTTAGTGAAGATATTTATTAAATATACATATATATATAAACGTTGTCATCGTTGTGGCAGTTTAACAAAAGGCTTCTTAGTTGTAAATTCAATTACTACAGTAGGTATCGGTTATATGCAACAGAAAGCAATAAAAACTAGCAAACGGTTGAGCGGGTTTTTTTCTATTTGTACAGTTCTCGTCATAATTTTCAAATGTGAAAAATATTATAATGCAAATTTAAACTGTTTAACATAATTCACATTATAATCAAATCAAATGCTATGCGCCTTTTGTAAACACTTTCCGAAAATGTAAATGAATAGATTTCACGTTACTATCTCAAAAGTATGTAAATATTTTCCTATAAGTTAAATCCTATATATTCTTCATAAATGTACTTAGTTCCGATAATAGCGATATCCACTGTAGTAAATCAGATTTGACAAATGCAAAGAAATTTGTAAGGCGTTAATTACATGCATAATACTCATGTATATAGTATAAGTATACATACATATTTATATATATATATTAATGAATTGTATAAAAAGCGCATAAATTATTTAATCATTATATAAAATATTGAATTGCGTTCAACAACAAATACTTCTCTGTTGATATTCGGTTGTTCAATTTTATCAAAAGCAACAAAGTTTGCGCTCTTTTTTTTGTTGTTGTTGTGCAATACAAAAATTGAATAAAATGTGAAACAATTATTATATACCTAAACATATGAATATAGAGAAAGAAAAATGATATTGGACAAACGAGCTAATGAAACAAGCAGAGCAAACGACAACCCAGGCAAAACAAATATATATATATATATATATTGTAAAATTGTATATAAAATATAAATGCAAATAAAAAAAAAATTGTAAAAACAGCAACAAATGGCAAATGTTCATATTTTTGCAGAGGAACAATTTGTTTGGTAAACGAAAAAGAAAGCAAGCGATTTATAGAGTTCTGGTCATGTCATATTAGAAATCATTTGCAAATATCTTGAGTTCGAAAGCACAGAATTCCAAAGATATACTTATTTTCATATACGGAAGTGCATACGAGATGAAAAGCAAGTTCAATTGCAGAGGTAAAGTTAGAAATTAATTTCTCAATAATCTGGGCAGATACGGAATATATATGGAAGTAGGGTATCACATTGTATTTAGAAAGTTGATCTTTATCAATAGGATTATTATTTTAAATGGGAATGGAATTTAGTTAAATAATCAGAAGACTCTCTGCTCATCCACTTCCCCCTACCACCCTATGGAGCGCAGTTAGACGAGTCTCAAAGTTTAATTTTAATTTGTCACAAATCTGAAACTAGTTAAATCTTTTTACTAAGTAACCCATTTACTCCCGCCCTCCTTTGTTCTCTCTCCCTCCCACTCCTTTCTAGCTGCTATGACTTCCTATTGTATTCTGCGCTTTACGGAAATTGCAATCCTTGGTTGTTGTTTTTTATTTTTTTGTTTGAGAAATAAACAAAGCTGAGCAGTGTATTTTAAGTACAAATTATTTGATTAGGGACCGTAAAAGTGACATTTTATGATGCCCTAAAGCAAAAATTTACCAGGTCAACGCAATAAAGAGCAAAATCTAATATCAAAATTGGCAATTAAGCAGCATACTTTTAGCCGCGATACGAATAATAAAACGCTTGAGTACGTGTCGGATCTTAACGCCCAGCCTCTGCTATTCGCCCGTTGTCCTCGGCATCGTAAACAGTTTTAATGAGGCGCTAAATGGCAAAAAAAAATCAAAAAACAAAGCTCTTTAGAGGTTGTGTAGCGCAGTGTAGATAGAGATCGTGTGTTTTCCAATTTAAATAATAAACTTTGTACTTAAATTAATTTCGAAATAATCGGATTTTTTCTTTTGCTTTAAGCACACGAGGCGTATGCGCAACCTTTTGATGTGTAAATGCAGCACAACAAATACTAATTAACAGAAAATTGTGTGGCAAATCTAATATTTGGTGTAACATGTCGGCCAAGTGGCATTTATAAAATTTACATAAATGATTTTGAAGCAGTTTTTTGCTGGCCCATCATTTTTTTTTTTAACACATTTTTCTTGTGTTGCCATAGCAAAAGTTGTGTCGAGGCAAAACTTTTTGCTTGTTAGCCAAAACGAGCGTATAAATTATATAAAATGCATAAATCTGCATAAAAAGCAAGCAGGTGGACGTTGGCCAGGACTGTAAGCCGTATTATATATGTGCAGATATATCAAAGTGCTTTTCTTTTCTGTTTTGGCCAAAAGCTGCTTCAGGCAAAGTTTCTTTTAAGTCTACCTAGTTAATATGTTAATGATGTTCAATCTAGACAATACACTTGTAAGTCTATAGCAACTAAGTGCTAAGAATCATCACTTATATTTTCAAAGCAGGCTGTGCTCAGAGGGGACTGGAAGAGGGAGCAGGAGCGGGTGCTGTAGCTGTGCCTCGCGCTGGGAGTTGGGCTTCGGTTTGGCTTGCGGCTGGCGGAGGTAAACGCATTATCATCATTAAGCACTTGCCGTAATTATGGCGCTAATTGAATTTCTAAATGAATATAATGAGTCAACAAAAGCAACTACACTTGAGCAGCAGAAATGATGCTCTTCAGGCAACTGCTAAAATAAATAAGAAACAATACTAAAGCCAACTAAAGGCATACTTTTTGTGCTCTATTAATACCACAATGAAATAAATCTAAAAAAAAGTATATATTTTTTGTATAAGCTCTAAAAAGCTGTTACTTAAATATTTATTGGCATATAAAATATAATAATATAGTAAGAAAGATTAAAGCATCATCTAATATATCTGTGCTAGTGCTAACATGTTATCTATGACCTATTGCTTGTGTATTAAGAGCATAATAAGGCTCAAGATTGCCAAGTTTGGTCAACATACATAGCCTAATATGCAAAAAAGCAGTCAATTCAACTAGTTGAACAAGGCTATATAGTTTCCAAGTTTCCAAAAGCCTGATTTTATAGATTTTATACAGTTTCCCCTAAAACTGTTATGAATTTTTTAAATATCACCATATACAAATAAAAGGTAGAAGGCATCTTGAAGAAATTATAAGATTTTTGGGTACTAAAATTCTTTGACTTGGGAGTGCTGAAGTTATAAAAAGATTATCGCAATAAGTCTTACATCTAGCATGTGTTAAAAATATATTCGACGTCTTTCTTTTCTCAGCAAACAATTCATTTTACAGGTTGCAATTCTTAAAATATTCTGGATAATATTTTGATTGGGCTTTCTGTTTACTTTAAGTAACATAGAGCACCAGAAATGTCATATAATTGTGGCCGGAAAGGGAACCTCAGCACGATGAATTGGCCTGTAGCCGTGTAACCAAAAACAAGAGAGTCTTTTGTTAATTAGGTTAAACACACACGTGTCACAAATTGCCGCTGTTATGAGTGTGAGTGTGTGTGTGTGTGTGTGCGTGTGTGTGAGTGCGGTCTTGAGATAAAACGCTGTGAAAATTAGGTGAGAAATTGAAATAAAACAAGCAGCGGCTGTTGGATGAATAAAAACGTCACGTAATTTGCACATTTAGCCACATGACAGCGAGAAAAAAATTACGCAGCATAACAATACACACACAAGGAAAAACACACACAGCAAATGTGTGTTGAGAGTGTGTGTGTGTGTGTGAGTGTGCAGTGTCTAAATTACAATTACATAGCCAGGCAGAGAGGCAGCGAGAGAGTGAGGCAGCGAGGCACTCAAGCCAGGAACTGTCAACGCTTGGCTTGTGTTTTGCTTGTGGCCGGACATGCGAACATATGGCAGAATAGTTATCCTGTTGCTTGCGCCGCAGTCACATGCAGCTCGGTTTTCATTTACCCTCAGTGTCCTACTTCAGGCTGATGTTTATCGATGTACTTATGAAGCTGGCAGCCATAAGATGATGAGTTCTTCCATTCGCAGTTGGTCATGGCGCACAACCAGAGTTGATTAAATAATGAAAACGATGCAGCACACATAAATATATATGAATATATATCTTTAAAGCCGACCCTAGTTATGCCAGAGACACAGGATTTGAATTGGAAGACAAGTTTTTAATTCAATATTCCATTGAAACACATTTACAATCAAATGTGTGAAGCTAACATTTCCCTTTTTATGTTGATTTTTGAATTATACTTGCTTCGTTTATTTGTCTATTAACTTTGAAAGGGAGCTTTTTTTAATAGCATATTAATTAATTTTCTTTCTAGCACATATCTCCAATTCACATACACTGTCCTACAAGAGCACTTTAAGGAAGAAGAACTTGTTGAATAAAAGTTAAATTGTGCTCGTTTCTTTTTTGTGTTTCAAAATAAAACAATCATGAACAAAGTAAAAGTGCAGTCAAAAGGACGAAAGCACAAAAAAAACATCAAATATATTTTTTGCTTTTGCAATAGAGTATACAAGTGTGTGCGTGTGCGTTTGTGCCCTGGCAGCATCCAAAATACTTGCGGCCTGGAACTTTTAATTAAGCAAGGAGTTTGCCAAGCAAAACGAGTAGCGCCCCGAGTGCGGACAAAATGAACAAATAAGCGTATAAATAATGGCGTAACGGCAGGCACACAATGCCATATTGAGGCTGCAGGAAGCAATGGGGGCCACAGAGTAAGCGAGAAATATGAGCAGCAACTGCGACGACGATGACGACGACGTCGATGACAATGGCCACATTGGCGACTCAGACCTTTGCATGGAGCTGCTGTCCATCGATGTTGGCATTCAAAGCCGGAGTGCGTCAAAATGGCTAGCTTCGAGTTACACTGGCCTTAAAATTCCAGTTCTGGCCATTGTGTTTGCTGGTCAAATAAGACACTTGCTTAGCCAAACACCCAAACACTCGCACACACTCGCACAACCTGCAAGCGCTGGCGCCATAGACACACGCGTCGTATACGTAATATTGACAGGCAGTAAGTAGCAGCCACAACGGTCATTAGCCCAGTTTGTGGCATAAATACCTGAGATCATATACAGCTGAAGACGAGTCGTTGCCATCAAACCATTTATGGGCTGAATGGCTGGTTCATTGGTTGAACGCGATAAGCAGGCGCTTTATTGTTTATGTTGGCCAAGGAATTTACGAGCCAGTGCCATAAATATGAAAGGGACTTGCTGGCCAAAAGTGGACGCAAAGTGCAAATGTTTTCCTTTGTTGCAAAAATACAAAGAACTAAACTGCGAGCTCTCTGGCAAAGAAACAAAAAAAAAAACACATAAAACCGTGCCAAGAAAAGTGCAAAAATGGGTTGGTTAAGAGGGCAAAAGTTATTGTTGCTCTGGGATTATAAATAAGCGGCACTTAGTTAACTGTCGTTTCTGGTCCTAAAGAGTTGCTGCTGCATGCAACAAAAACACTTTCTATATATCTTATAAGAAATCGAGTTGTTGCACTTGACGCTCAACAAGAATCATTTTAGCTATTTTATTTTCCTGGCAAGCCAAAATATTTAGAGGCAATAATTAATTATTATTAAGTTTCTTGTGGGCCAAGAAAAGGGTATTAGACAGTTAGGCAACAAGCATATTGCAGGAGTTAACTTCAGATCATATAAAGTATTCCATTTAATACTCTAAAGGCATATCTAGATCTTGGTCAGGTCCTTTCTTAGGAGAGACAGGAATTTATACTTTTGAAACATAATTTCAGCATAATTTAGAACTGATTACTAAACGATCCTAGCCTCGATAATCATACTCGTACTTGGGTTAAATTAATAAAAAAAATTATTAATGTATTTGCTGCGTGTTTTCATAAACTAAAGCCTTGGCCAGGTTCATTTTTTATTTGATGGACACGGCATATGGTCACGTGTCAAGGCACAAAGGTCACCGTGCAAGCAATTCGCAAGTTGACAACGTAACGGACGAGGGTTGCAATTCAAATCAAGCTCGATTTGATTTTAGAAAATTACGTGAGCTGTCACAACTTTTTGACTCTAAGCTGCTAAAATAATGGAATTCAAGGTAAGGCAATTTTAGTATATTATATGGCACATAAGCCCATTTGTCGCAGCCCATACAAAATCAAATATGACAATAATAGCCAGGTAATTGTATTGAAAACTGTGTGCTCAAATGAGATTTGCATTTTTGTATGCCCTGGCTGAAAACTGGGCAGAGACTGTCAGGCTTAAGCGATGTCAGCAATTATTCAAAGCCTTGTTGTCTGGGGCCCTTTTTGACACTCCTGCAGTCTACAGGGTGTCTGAGCGTGAGGCATATTTTCTGGATAGCCCTTTCAATTGTTATAGTTGATGCAACAGACGCTGGAAGTGAATCCAATTTAGCGTTAATACTGCAGAGACTACCTGGCTACCAGGACTACACGTGCCCAGCTTATTAGACTGAACATATTGTAAGCGTGGACCATGCTTTGCATATAAATGACCCACATATGGCAAGTGGGCGGGCTGGTCGCTGCCTTGGCCCACATATGCGCTATACACACACACACACACACACATACAGAGAGATATTATGCAGAATATGAATTCACACGCATACGCAGAGACACATGTTGTGGCTGGCATTCTTTTTAGCTACACTCAGAGATTTCAATTTTGAAGCACTTGGACCACTTTAAGAGCCACTTCCAACAACTTCTGGGCTCATTGAGTGCGTGCAAGTTGCTTTTAAGATTTTGGCCCCAAATCCGCTTTACATATACGTTTATTTTGTTTCTGTATTTTTTTTTTTTTTTTTTTTGGCAACGACCTCCTCTTCCGTTGCGCTCTGTTGGCCAGCAGCATTCGCCTGGTCTGTGCTTCCTGTCCCGGGCTCAGCTGCATTCTATCTCCATAAAAGTCGCATTGAGCAAAAAAAATTTACATAAATTTGTTTGGGATCGCGCCCAGGCAGCAATCAATGAGCACACATAAATTCAGAGCTATCCGTTAGCCGTTGCCTTGGCTCTAACTTTCGGTCCACTTTTGGGGTAGCTGGGCTCTCCTAAGCATGTCTTACGACACGAGCTGCTTGGAGCTGGCGACACGAGGGTATTGTCCCAGTCAGGCATTGGGACTGCGCTGCCGGTGGAAGTCGTTCATTGTGGGTAAGATTAAAATTATTTTGCCATCTTTCGACAACTTCTTATCGCTGGCTTAGGTGTCCTCTCTTTGTCGATTCGTCGATGCTTGGCATAATTTATTTGCCATAAAACATGAAATAAAACATTTTCGCTCGTAAATTATGAAACAAGTCGAACGGTTAAGTCTCAAAGTCACAAAAAGCAAGGTACATAAAAACAAATTCAGTGCGCATAACAGGATTGTATATAATAAATATTTTTCACTGTCCCCTCACATAAGCCAGCATACATATATATTTATATATATATTTATTCCAATTAAGTAGCATTGCCCCATATCTTTCATATAAACGTCAAAGTGCCAGCTACAGGCAGACAAATATATGTGTAAAAAACGACTTACCAGCGAGTCGAGAAATCAAAAGACTTGCATCTGCTTATTTATTTGAGCGCTGGACAGATTCCCTTGTCTGGCGGGGCTGAGCTGTTGGACGCCTCGTCAACAGGCACATCTGAAATTAAACGTTTGAATGAGCTTTTCATATTAAGTGCTAAAAATAAATCAAGAAAAATATTCTGTATATATAAATGTACTTCAGCAGCATCAGTCGAAAAAGTCTGCGCCAAAGGTCAGTGACGAAAACAGAAAAAATTAATAATAATGTGGCAAAAATATGTACAGCAGCTCTCTCGACTAAACCACACAGAAAACGCATGTACAATATTTTAGGCATTAAAAGCCGCCGTAATTATTATTAGATTTTCGCAGAGCTCAACGTTTCACAAGAATTCAATATGGTAAGGCAGCAGTTCTATATAGACCGTGTTTAATATTTGTCGCAATAAAAAAAAGGAATTTTGGTTTAGAATTTATGCTCCAAATTAAATGTATTTGTAAAACAATTTGAATAGTCAGTGGATACAATTTGGTGTATTGGGCAAAGAAAACCAAAAAGAAATATATATTTTAATAGCATATGCATAAAAGGAGACATCTCCGACCCCATAAAGTAAGTATATATACTCTAAATCGACATTAACAGCCGAGTTGGTATAGTCATGTCCATTTGTCCGTCTGTTTGTTCGTCTATCTGTCCATCTCAGGCAATACAAGTTGCAGGCAATACAAATGTCGGAATCGGACTAATATATCATATAGCTGTCATAGAAACGATCGGTCGAAAGGTTGGTTCATGTTAAGATAACTTGACCAAGCTCGAGATTTATTAATTTCATTAAGATCCTCGTATATACGCAAAATCGTATTAGCATCGGACCACTATATCATAGAGTTTAAGAAAAGATCGCTGGAAAAGTATGATCTTATAGGGGCAAAATATGCTCAATTCGCACATATCAGCAAGAGGGAAATATCTGCAAGCATTACAGCATTGTGAGTTATTTATTTAAGAAGGAATACAAGTCAAACCCACATAGGCAGCTTGAAACAATGTGTAAATAGTCGAAAATAAACAGCAACACATGTAAATTAGACTTCAGATTTGGCAAGAGTTACAAAATCTTGAGTGACTTTTGGCCAAGTTCTTGTCGAAAGCAGCTGCCGCCTGCCCGACTGCCTGCTAGGCATATGCGGCGTATGCGCAACGCGGATTTACTTTACAATGTCAACAGAAGAGTCAGAAGCTGTCTGGTTCGCTGCTTGGTTGCTCATATGCCGCACACCCGCATACACAACAAACACACACACACACACACGCACACACACACACACGCACACACACACACACACACACACTTGAAGCCAAGTTATGCCTACAAAGCGAATACGAATTCACAGGAGCAGCCACTGTTTGAATATTGTACAGAATTTTTCTTTGCTGCTTTAAGTAGCAGCACGAGGAGTGGAAGAAAATTGGTTACAGCCCAGGTAGCAAACGGCATTTGTTTATGGTCACATGGTGTGGCTCATGCAGAGTGGGGGAGTGGCGGGGCAGCCACTATTCACTTCACTTTGCCACGCATAAAATGTGTCGTGTCATGTGCTTAAGAAGTATGAAGCATAATGCCGCAGAAGTGAGGAAACGTGCCCACTTACCGGAGGACCCCAACCGAGACGAGCCAAAGAGAATACGCACAACAGTTGAAAACGAGCTCAAGTGAAGTTAAAGTTTGAGGGGCATGGTAATGGGAGGGTGAATGTGAAGCGGTAAGTCGACAGGCCTCAATAAATAAATAGCAGCTGCATCAGTTGGGCCTTCCTGCTACAATACTCCTGACGTCCTGTGATTTCCTGTGGAACGCGCAAAGAAAAGATAACAAAAATTAAGTAACCAACCCAGCAGAAGGGGCCCTCGCGGTAAACAGCATGTGTTAAGCAGCCGATGAATAAGTGAGTTGGCTAATAGCGTAGATTGGATAAGGCGTAAATATACAATATAATACAATCGAGCTGATGCTTGGTGCTCCGAATGCGATTAGCCGAATCACTTGACTTATACACCATATGCAAGGTAAGTAAAATATCAACTTAGATTAAGTCCATTTTAATATTAATATATTATGTTTTTAAAGGTATGCCTAGGTATATAAAGTTATGGTTTTGAATTTCATATTTTATCCATCATATTTTGTAAAAACATGTTTTACAAAAATGAGTTATTTGACTTTTCAGTTTAAATTCGAATTTTATCATTTGTTGGGATTTCAGGCAAAACGATATTCGACGATTCAATATATTCGGCAAATAAATATGAATTCCTATTTTTATTGTTTTTATTTTTATTAACCGAAAAGTGTTTAGCATTTGCCAAAAATGATTTCCCAGCCAAATACAATGCATCAAAAAACACAAGAAATCCACCGACAACACAGCAAATTAATAATAAAAACAACAAAGAAAAAACTCACTCAATGTTTCTACTCGGACATTTTCACTCGGCGATGTTTTCGTGCTGCAATTGAGTGAAAAGTCGCGCAAGCAGTTCGGGCTTGTGATAGGAAATTGCATCGTATATGCCGACATCATACAACGATTTGCTCGGACTCGAGCGCTTATCAGCAGATAACCTGTTGGTTAACGGGAACGCCGGCGCGAGCGTCGCAGCTGCTGCGGCGACGTCGTGACGTTGTCGTCGTCGTCGTCGTCGGCGTCGTCATCACACACAGCGTATGACAATACGTAGCTCGTGTATGCCGAGGCCGTCGAGGCTGTCGTCAGTTGCTTGTGTTTCCTCGTTGGCGCTGGACGCGAAGCGGCAAAAATCAAATATCCGAAAAGAAAACAGAAAACATTTCAAATATATTCAAGTCGACAACAAACAGACACATTTGACGCGTTGCGTATACGCCACATTTGCCTAGGCAACAGTGAGAAGACTCGCGCGTGATTTTCCGTGAACCGGCAAATAGCAAATTCAAGTCCAACCAAGTGCCGGAGCGTGCTCGAGTGCGGATCCGCAAAAACGTTACGGTCTACGGTTGCGTTTGCGTTTGCGTCTGCGGTTCCGTTTTTGTTGACATTTTTGTGACGCGTCGTTTGGCACGAAACGAAAACTAAGCATAAAAAAAAAGAGCAGGAACTTTTGGCTTTCCCTTTTGTTCAACTGTCTGGGCCAGGCTTTAGGCTTGAAGTGCAAGTTAAACAGGCAACAACTTAACCCCGAGGCCTCAAATTAAATCCATTGTCAGCAGGTGGGTAAACCGACTGTGAACTCAACTCCAAAACGTAAAAGTGTACTTGCTAATAAGTTCGACATATTTCGGGATGCCCAATGCCTCCACAGTGTGTATTACATCCGCACAAATTCAATTTCCAGTCAACTTTTTAGGTTAACCCATAAAGCAAAAAAAAAAAAAAGTCCAGAAAAGAAAAGTTTTATTTGCACTCAAAACGTTCGCAACTTTTTTGCGACACAACAAACAAGTTAGTAAGATGCCAAGAATTTCAAATAAAAAAGAAACACGCCTTTGTTAGAAAAAGTCAAATGCATTTCGGCCGTGCAAACAAAAGAAATGCGCAAGAAATGAGAACATTTTCTTTTCATTTTCGGCTGGCTTTTATGACCCGCCACAAAACGCGCGACTGTCCATAATTAAATATGCAAATTAATGGGTATGCTCGAGTATTGTCAAGACAAATGTTTGTGCAGCTGACGACGCGCTGTCAAATTTGCAAGACAATTAAATACTATCAATATGTTTTATTGTTGGCCCAACTATTGATTTTCATTTGTCCCAGCTGATTCTGAGAGGCATGTCATCAATTGTAGATTTGAATATTTATCGTACACACACCACACACACACACACACACACACACACACACACACACTTATTGCTTTGTCTTTGCTTGGAACTTAATGAATACGGGTTACAGCTTCACGCTCAAATGCGCAACGTTTTCTTAGAGTACATATACTCTCTCTCTCTCTCTCTCTGTGGGTGTGTGTGTGTGTGTGTGCGTCTCCCAGCTGACTCAGTTGTGCTTAATTTTACAATCCATAGGGTCAAGCAATTAACACGTGGCCAGCTAGTGGCTGCTTGCATTTAATGTTCATAATAAATTAAATGCAATGACTAGTGCAAATTTGCATTATCAAACAGTTCAATTTGCTGCTCAATTTAGTAAAAAATGTATTTATAAATAATTTTCAAAATAAACGAAACAAATCAGTTTCATTAATTGCTTTTTGTTAATCAATTAATTATTACTCAGCTGATTAAACTAAACACCAAATATGCTTTAAAATATTGTTTTTGCGTAGCTCTTAAACCTTTTCATACATGCATGGCAATTCTCCCAATTAATAAGCATACAATTGCATACTCTTTCCATAATATGCCAGCTGAATGTGTCTTTAAATAATTTTTTATTTTAACTGGATTGACAAAGTAATTCAAAAAGATAAATATCTTCTATCCATTTGTACTATACGAGAGCCATACAAGCTTTTGAGATATCAAAAGAGAATTCGCTTAAAATCGACTTAATGCAAAGGAATGCATACTTTGAAAGGAAACAATAAATTAATTTTGTATATTTTTCAAATTTAAATTTTAAGCTCGAAAAGAACTAGGAAATGCTGAAAGTTTCTGACATTAAAAGCGTAGACAAAATTTCATTTATATTTAATACAAAATAAATTTGGTTTAGACAATTTGAAAGTTTTGTTTTGCTTTTCTTTACATTAAATTTTGCTTTACTTAAGTACTTTAAAGCTTTATGTGCTTTGGCTAAGCAAAGCAAATACTTTCATGAAAATACAAACTAATTGAATATCACTCAGAAATCTAGACTGCCAAATTGAGCAATTCAAACTATTAGCAAAGCCGCAATAGAATATCCAACTATCATTAATATAACATTGGGCCAATTCAAAGTGAAAACTGATAAATTTGTGGGAATGACGAGAGCCAAAAGACAAAAAAAAAAGTTGTTTTAAGCGGTTAGAGCAGAGCAAAAAACGCATTTCAATTTGCATATCAACGCGTTTCTAGAAAATGGCAAATGGTCGCTGATAGCAGCGAATTTCGTTGGAATGCACAAAAGGAGCAAGCAAGTCGAAGGACGAAAACAACATTGACTTTGACGTTGATGGTGCCTTCAAGGCGTGTCAGCGGCAGGGGATATGTCTTGAAATGTCCAAGGAACTTCCATCTCTGATGTTACCTGATGTATATTTGCATTTAGATCAAACAAGCTGCCTGCGCGGCCGCCCAGGAGGGTTAATAGCGGCGGGTGTAAGGGCTGTGAGGCGAAAGTGTTTACTCTCTGTAGACGTGTACTGCATTGGCAGTGATAATTTGTGCAAAAACATTTCAAGCTTCGTTTGCTTTAATACCCTGTAAAACAAATAGACCGTTAAAAGCTATAGCTGCCCGGTTGTGTTGCTTTGTGATTGCAAATCACAAAAATTTATGTAGCATACTTTGTAGTGTAGAAGAAGTAGGTATCTCTCGCTTTTCATTACTTATTTTGCTATCGCTTTTATTGCAGCATTTTATTGCTTTGTTAGTTTTGCATAAATTATGCATAGCAAAGTGTGTGCGTGTGCGTGCGATTTTCCTGGCCAAGTCGTTGGCCAAATAGGTTAGCGGGGCTGGCGGCAGCAGCTTGGCAACTGCTTGAATTCATTTGATTTCTTGCAGTCAGTCGCAAGTCACAGGTGACATTTTTATGGCCAATCTGTGCTGGCAATAAAACGATTGGATTTTTCAAGGACAGCCATCGGGCCTGGTACGCCGTCAACAGCTGCCACAATGTAATCTACTTGTTTGTTACATGGACAGTCAACCAGCTGAAATGCTGGCGGCTGGCAAAACATGGCCCTTGGTTGGTTCGAGCTTAGATTTCAAAAATTTCCCTCGGGAATAGCGGTTGCATGCTCTCATACGGAATGAGCGTTGGAATCGGTTATGCGCCTTCAATTTACTATCCATCTATTACTTAGCAACCTATCCGCAGTCCGTCTGGAGTATTATGTTTTGCTGTTGTTCGATATTCACTTTGTTTAATAATTTACGCACTACGCTGGGAATTGAGCTGCCTGGCTAAAGACTCAAATGCACACCAAAAATTAATTATATTTCAATTTAACGAAGGGTTCACAGTCACAGCTTGAACCCAGCCAAAATATACACAAATCAACGGTTGAATCCGAGCTGCGCTCAAATTTGTGTGCATACATATAAAACCCCAAATACTCTATCCAAGGCAGCTAGCATATTCAACAAATATTCAAAAATGTGGCATATTGCCGGCTTCAGTTCATGATTATTTTAACATCTGCATTCGACTCAACTGAAGCCCAACTATTGTTACCAGCTAACATACTTATGTACGTGATCTGTTATTTATACTCTTATACAAATATTTGTGTAGCCCTTAATATACTGTTGGCTGCACATGCTATGAGCTTATATACATGATCTATTATGAACATTTATGAAAACTCACCATCAGATCATCCGTACTGGGTCGATTCGCAGCTTTAACTGAAGCCTAGTTCCAGTTGGCTGCCTTTATAATACTGGCTCTTCTTCTTACACACACGCACATAAACACGAACTGAAGATCTGCAACGGCCTGCCTCAGCTTCGACTAAAGCACAACTGCAATGGGCGCCCTTTATATACTGTTGGCTGCAGCTGCTGTAAACTAAAATAATCTGTTATTAACATTAATATGATCTGTTATTAAAGTTCAATGCAAACTTACCTTTGGACCATCTGTACCTGCCCGGTTCGCAGCTTCGACTGAAGCACAACTGCAATGGGCAGCCCTTTATATAACGCGGGCTTCACCTGCTGTAAGCCAACATGATCTGTTATTGATGTGATCTGTTATTAACATTTAATTCAAACTTACCATTAGCTGGCTGCTTTATTTACACTACTGACTCTTCTTCTTTGTAGCTTGCATACACAATTTGTTATTCATATTTTTATATTAACACACACGCACATTAGCACTAAGTGAAGATCTGCACCCGCCCGCCCCACAGCTTTGACTGAAGTCTAGCTGCAATGGGCGCCCTTTATATACTGTGTGCAGCACCTTCTGTAAATTAACATTTTCTGTTATTAACATTCAATGCAAACAGAATATCAGATCCTCCGTACCGGCCCACTTCGAAGCTTCGACTGAAGCGCAGCTGCAATGGGCAGCGCTTTTATATATTGTTGGCTGCCTTGTTTAGATTGTCCTTCTATCATTTAATGCAAGCTCAACAGCATATCATCTAAAACTCCTCGCATTTCAAATTCTATTGAAGTGCTGTGCTGGGAACTCGTTGGCTGCCTTATTTACTTGCATGCATGATCTGCTATTCTTATAAATATAACAACAGAGGGTTCAACTTATGCGGCTGACTTGTTGTAACTAAATAGAAATATAAAGAGCATTTGAAATTCGGTTAAATCTTCATCATTTAACATAGATGAGATTTTAGTCATAAGCATGGCCCCATCATAATCACCGGGCACGTTGGCTATGTCGATATGGTTCTGGTCCGCGGTCGCATCGCGGTTCAAATATCATTAAAATGCAAAAATTGATGAGCGGCGCGAGGACAGCAGCCAGCTTGTGAGACCTGATGTGCGCCAAAGGGCTAAGAGCAAGAGAACAAGGGACAGATATAGAGAGAGAGAGAGAGAGGGAGATAGGAATGGTTGCTGCGTGGAGTGTTAAGTTTGTGGCTGTTGCTTTTGCTGTTGCTGCTGCTGTTGCTGAAACTGTTTGTGGTTCTGGTATGGGGGTGGGTGGGTTTTGATGGGTTCGGCAGAGGTTGGTCGGCGCTTGAAGTGAGCATTTAATTAATTTTGCTTGTTGGCTTGGCGCACTGATTAAAACGCCATTTACAACATTTTATCTGCATTAAGTCAAAAATAAGTTAGATGCTCATTAATTTGCATAGACTAAGCCGGAAGGCAGCTGGGATAATGCTGACGATGCATTTATGTATGTATGTAGTAGTATATATATATATATATGTATGTAACAGCCTGCAGTTTAGTTTTTACAATTAAGCAAATGGTAAATGAGCTGAGCTTGACTGTATTTTCATTAAAGCATTTATAATGAGCTTATGCACAGTTTTACAGCATAGCTGTCAGATACAATAGCCAAGTTAGCCTGAAAAATGGCATATGAAACCTTTTAGTTTAAGCTCTCTCAACTAAAGTTGCTTCAGTGGCTTACTTCAGGGCCAGAAACACACATATGCCATCAAGCTGTGGCTTTTAAATGACCACGCCCTAAACGTAGCTGATGATGCTATTCAACGCTTGAATGCCCAACTATCGCAAATGGGCCAACATTATGCTGGGATCTCTGGCTATCTTGTGTGGCAGCCGAAGACATTTTCACAGTGCACTGCCTTCTGATAAGGCACAACAACAATGATAAGCTAAAAAAGGTTCATCCGAGTACAACAAACCCTTGCAGCGCTTCTGCATGTGTGTGTGTGTGTGTGTGTGTCTGTATAAAATTTATGGAAGCCATTGTCTTCTGCTTAACAGCCATATAGCTAGAATGGCTGGCAAGCAACATGGTCGCTGCACCGAATGGTCAATTAATAATGGTCACTGGCCCTTTGGCCCGAACTGCAGTCGCAGCCCTTGAAGTGCGCCTCGCCGTATGCAATAAAAAAACAAACAAAAAAAAAAACGGATTCAGCTTTAAGCCCGAATCGAGTTTGCTGGGAACAAAAGTAAACGCATGTGGCAATTTTCTCAATAAAATTCATTGATTTTCATTGGCGTGGGCACACGTCATTGAAGTCGGGGCCGTGTGCAACTTTTAGTTGTATTAATATTGGTTTTAGCCGCCGCCGCCGCCGCCGCCGCCGCCATGTGCCATCTCCCATGTAACGCGTGTGTTGTCCAAGGCAGAGGGGGAAAAGCGACGGTAACGGCGACGGCAAAAGGTTGTTGGGCAAAAGACAAGGAAAAATCGCTTGGATGGCTGGGCAGGAAGGTCCTTGGTTTGGTTTGGTTTTGCTTTGTTGCTCACATTGCCGGTGCCAGCTGAAAAGGTTAAACGCCTAAGCAAGTGAACAATATAAACAATGAAAAGGCACAAATCCAAACAGATAAAAGACTTGAATGAACGGGTTAAGCATTAAAGATTGGTCGATTAGAAAAACTTGAACTTTGTTGTTGAACTTCCACAATTTTCCCAGCTATGTTGCGAGTCAAGAAGAAATGTTTCATTATGCCTTTGTGGTTGCATCACACAACAGACTCGTCAATCCACTAACTCACTTCAAAACTATTTTATTGATTTTAATTTCGTCTAGAAGTCGGCTTAAAACGTTTATTATACAAGTTCAACCTTTGATCTTGCGGGGGAACAGACGATTCTTATTATAATTATATTTTATAATAATAATTATTTTGATTATAAACAATTCCCAGAATCAAAGTAAGTTGCGTAATATTTGCAAACTTTAAACTAAAATTGGTCTCAAAATCCTTTCACTCAATTTCGGTTTATGTGGAAAAAGTTGAGTTTAAACGGAAATTGAATTAAGAAGCAATTTAAACTTAAGCCAACATTTTTTGCTGCCAAATTTGAGCTGGATAACTAAAATACTTTCTGAAATATGCTACTGAGAAACTTTAGAACTATGCTTAGTTTGAAATAAAGTTGAAAAGTATCATGCCTAATTAGTAACTTTTAATTGATAACAACTTTAAGCCGGGCTGTTGAGCATTTATTTAAGCATCGAACCGAGCGAAATGTCGCAGGAAGCATTCAACTATTATAAAATTCAATTGTTGTTTCGCAGAATAAAAGAAGACAATGCCAGGAGACTGACAGTGTGACAGAGAAATCTATAGACGGACAGACAGATGTTGATAAGTATACATATGCAGACATGCAGACCTGTCAGTTCTCCTCGTTAGGCAGGCTGTCTGCCATTTGGAAAATTACTCATTTTTATGCATATGCGCCCCGGGGACCCATCCCCTTGCCGTTGGCCCCTTTTGGTGAGATGGTGAAGCAAATGACACTCAAAGTTCAACACTGCCATCGTGTCCTTGGCATTTCATTTTAGCCATGGCTTGCGTTTTGGTTATTACTGGCTTGGCGAGGCCATATCAACTCTCTCAGTGCACACATGAATGTACGAATAATTCTCAATAGTAGTTGTTTTTCTGTTTTTTCTTTTTCTGATTTTTTTTTTTGCTTAGTCGTGCGGCGAAACGCATCGCATCGCCTTCAGGCAGACAGTTAGACAGTTGGAAAGCTTATGCCATGTCATGGAGCATTTAACCCAAAACTACCAGCTGACAGTCAAATTCAAATGTTGAGCTCTCTCAATGCATTCCGTGCATGCTTTGATGTCATCTAAACTTGTCTTCTAGTCGATTTCAATCATCAACTTTGGGAACTTAACAAGTAAGTGTCGACAAATAGATACCCAGTTCTCAGTGGTGAAACGGAATTGAATTGAGACTTTAGTCGAAAAGTATTTAAAGAGAATATTTCTTGAGAAATCTTTGGGTAGTCTTTAGCTAGCTTTAATAATCGAAATGGAATGCAAATTTGATCAACTTCTTCTTAAAGCTACTTTCTTCTGTCTGATACACCTTTTTAATGCAGTGTACAGGGTATACAAATGAAATTATGACACGAACTTTAATGGACTTGAAAACTTTACAAGTGATGGATTATCAGAAAACTTTTAGCCATACTTTTAATCACATACTTGGTGGCATGCGGCAAGCACATGATAAAGAAATTTATATGCAGCCGCAATATTTGGTTTTACGCTGACATAATTAATTTTAAATTGTTATACAACTTGACTTGCTATTGCCAGAGCAATTGAATGCGTTGTTTACTTTGATTAAAAGCGAATTTAATAATAATTTATTCAGCAAATATGGAAATAAAAGTCTAAAAATGAAGTCAAACAAATTTGTTAGCTTATAATTGGCCGGCTACTCACAGCGTGCAGTAGCCGTAATTGCTTTCCATATTCAAATTATATTCGAGAGATTTGGAGCCATAACAAAACACGCACAGACACAAATCCTCAACGACCACAACGACAACAACAGCATAAAAAGCACAAAGTCCATTGTGCGGCAAGTTTTGGTTTGATGCGTTTACATATTTGCCCAGACTTAGTCTCGAGTTCCCCGTTTGCCGTCTCTGCATGCCTCGTTGAACCTTGGCCAAAAATGGCCGTGTAATTTGTATGAAATTCGCCTTTAGACTCGAGAACTCTAAGTGCTCCGGTGATGGCAAACATTTCAAATTTCGAATGGAAGAAAAGAAATATATATATATATATATACATAAGATAGATGGGAAACAACAGAATAGAGCACTCGCTCACATAGGCTGGATTGTTGCCTTATTTACATTTGGCTCGAAGTCTTTTTGTTGCGTTTGTTGGCAAGAGGCGTGTGAGAAGGGGGCGGCGGCGGTCTATTCGGGTCACTCAATAGCATGCCCCTGGCCGTAAATTCATGCAAAAACAATCTTATTAATGGCTATAAGGGCCACCCCGCATGCCCGCACACAGATTGTGTTAATAATGTTTAACTGCGATTTTTATACGCGTTTTCTATATTTTTGCTGTTCGCCTTTTTTGTGACTATTGTTGTTGCTATTGTTGTTATCAGCGCCTGGATTTCCTGTTGCTGTCTGCTGTTGTTTGCCAATTTTAGCCATTTAGTTTGATTTCAGTGTTATCTTTATGTGCTCCCGCTTATCGTTCTACCATATATACCCAGTAATGGGCTTAGCCCCATGGCCCAAGGGCCTAACAGTGGGCACGACATTTATCACAAAATACGAGAGCCCCCGAGCTCAGTTTGCTCAAATCGCATCAACTCTGACAAGTAGTTGCTGTCACGCGAGGGTATTACAATTCATGTACACACTTTGGCGCAGCAAGGTGCTCTATGAGCTACAAATTTATGTTAAATTATAATTAATATAGTAATTATTTAGTACATCCAATTAAAAATGCAGCTTAAATAAATCTAGAACTACTTAATTGATTTTGCCAATCAAATATTGTTTGCAGCATATTAAGATTTCGGCATTTACTTAAATAAGCTTAGGGTATTTGCACTTCATTGATTTTTTTTTGGTCGCATTATATTTATTATTATTGTTTTATTTGAATGCTCTCGAATTTTGTATACAATTTATGAAGTATATCATAAAAATTAAATGCATATACTGAGTCACTCAGATGTTTAACGACTTGGCCTCAGCGCCAGTGCATTGTGCGCTTAAATGGAAATAAATTCTCTAATTAGTTGTTGAGCACATAAATCAGCAAATAAATATTCCGGCCACACATGTGTATATATATGTATATATAATATATGTGTATGCATATGTGTATAGATACTTGTCGATGAATAATGCTCGAAATTTCAACAATTTGCAAAGTGGTCGTCGCTGTTGGCATGAGCAATAATTTTAAGTGGTTGCTGTTGCGTATTTTAATTAAATATTTTTTTGTTTCCAATCGAGACGATTGGATATCATGACATTTACACTAAACACATGTTTACATTTCAGTCTCTCAATTGCCCATCTGTCTGTCCGTCTGCCTGTCAGTCTGTCCGTCCGTTTGTTTGTTTTTTCCATCCATCAGCTGTTCGGTAATTTCTTTGATGCGTGGCAAAACTTTCGCAGCTAGAAAAACTATCGCAAGCAAAACTTTGTAATTAATTATCATAAAAATAGCCAAGTTGATTAGTACAAAATGCTAAGAGGCGTGTGCTGCCCATCATCATCATCATCATCATCCGAAACAACATCGTCATCATCATCATTCTCAACAGCCAGCTGAGCATTGATCATACACAAGAGCAGTAGCTGGCAACTTTGGACTGAGCTACTGGCATCATTAGTGGAATTTATAGCCAAGTTAATGGCATAGTTCTCTCGAGTAGCTGTGTGTGTGTGTGTGTGTGTGGGAAACAGCTTAAAAACTAGTTAAGGGCTGGTTGGTTGTGGCTGAGCTACTTTTTGTTATATACATTTTTCAGCTGTAAGCAACGAAACTCGCACGAGTCCTACACGCAAGCATTGTTCTACAACAAATGGTATAAAGTTGAATAAAATTAAATAGAAAGTGCTCTTGACTTGAATACGCAGAAATGTTGCAAAAACAACAACAATGTGCAGACTATTTATATGCCTCATAGTTGATTCATTTAAATGAATTCTATAGAATTTCAGTTTGTAATTAAAACACAAATGCCTTTTGACAAAGGAAATTAATTTTCTTGTGCTATTGCACGTGTGAAATTAATTTAACAGAACTTCAGCTTTCGAATCGTTGCATACGAATCCTAACTAAATTATAATGGGATAAGCCCAACCAGAAAATAGAAAATACAAATGAGAATAACAAATGGAACTGTTGGCCCTCTTCCATTAAATCTGATGTTAGGGAGGGTCATCCTGACAGCCGTTTCATCTTGTGACAGGCAGGCAGGCAGGCAGGCATGTGCGCCAAAAAGTAGGCAATATATGTTGTACTTATAACTGATGAAGAAGAAGCGCCAGATGCCATCTATTCAATAAATGTTTCACCTAAAAATTAATGATGAAAAAAAAACAGCACAGTAAGCTGCCATTAATGTGAGTGGTGTTTGGACTACCAAACGCCTGGCTTCATTATAACCCAGCCCAGCTGAGAGATAAATTGTTCTGAAAAAATGGTGACAAATGCATCAAAATTAAAATTACCAAGTGCCGCAGCAGACGCCGCCCGAAGGACGCGTCAAGGAGCTGACGCGAATCGACGGGATGACACACTCAAGCTGCTTTGTGCTGCCTTGTTAGTAATGATAATGTGTAGGATAAGCGAGCCGATGCCGATGATGATAATGACGACGACGACGATGATGATGACGAGCTTGATAATGATATTGATGATGTTTATGGCTCGAGTAGTTGCCGCCTTTGTTGTGGCCCCTTGTCTGTCGGGCAATCGCATAATATAAAATTCTTAGCTGGCATTTTTTACGGAATTTCCCATTTTCGCAGTTCGTTTTGTGCAGCGGCTGCCCCGTGGCCATTTGTTGCCAACCTGCGGATCTAGCCCCGATTTCGGGCAAACGTTTTGCACACTTCCGCCTATTAATTTATCAAAGCTATTATGTTTTTCCTGACCCCGCGGCGCACAACAATTTTTGACATTCCTTCATGTTGTGGATTCTAATGCCAAAAAGCAAGAAATGAGATGAGAATCACAACAATTTTTGCAACGTCTCGCCCTTCTATTGGGTTGACAGCTAATAAAATTGAATTGACTTACAGAAATTAAAATTGTTGACTGTGGAAATTAACTGCCCTCATTTGCAATTGATGATGCGACAGCCTTTGCCGCTTGCCACAAAACAAAAGTCGTATTAAAGTGTTGTTGTTTGTGCCAAACATCTCCCAAAACTGCAGAATACCAACTGACGTTAACCAAAATCCAATTCGCATACGCATTTGCATTTACATGAAGGACGCACCGTCAGCAATATCACTCGACCTGATTATGATTAAAGAGCATGGGGCACAAAGTCTACTTAGTTGTTCATGTGTTGTGTTCATGTGCCAGTTGCAAACTTTGAAACTTCTATGAAAAGGCAGCTTTCATAGAAACCATATTCTAATTAGCTCTGGAAAATTATCAAACAGTTTTTCAGGGCTAAATTAATGTGGTCATGAAACGGAAATTGAAATTCTCAGAAGCTTTGCAGTGAAAGCAACTAGAACTTCTGTCTATTGAAAGTATTTTTCATTTTTTTTTCTTCAGTTAACTGGAATTATCTAAGGGTTGGTTTATGCTCATTCAGCATAGAGTATTGTCTAATATTTGGCTTTGTAGTTTCACTTAAAAACAACAAAATAATAAAATTATGCGCAATTCTGTAATAAACACTACATGTGCAACAACGAGAGAAATTCCTTAACTATCTAAACATCAAACATTTTTAAAATGCATTTTGTGGTTTTGCATTTTGTAGAAATTGTTGTTTAAAATATAAAACTTTATGCATATATAACATATATGGACTAAACTTGAGATACTATATAAAATCATCAGCTTTGAATGCAAAAGATATTATGTTTAATTGTCAGTAATTTATTTATATACTCTTTAGCTTTTTTCTGACAAATCATGAACGACATTCACACAATTTCGAGCTGTGCTCAGTCTAAGAACTATCAAATAATCTTATTATACAGCAAATTATATCATCTGGCGTGAAGACAATTGCTGATTTGTTCTGACGCCATCGCCGTGACCTTTGCAACTGTAGTTATATAAATTGCCCTTAGACAATGTATATAAACTCGAAAACCCTAATGCCACACTTTTACTTCCGGCTTGTCGCATTTTGCTGCCACATTGTTTTTAATAAAGCCAGCGCCAGCCTCCACCCTCCCTGTTGCCCCTAGCGCTGGCAGACGGGGAACAGTGTGTATATAAGGGCAAGTGAGAAGGCAAATAAAATAGATGCCAGTCAAGGCAACAGTTTAATCCATTGGGACAAAGGCGAAACAAAAGCGCAATGCACAGCGGTGCGTGCGATCTAGAGTGGTGCGAAGCGGGGCGGGGCGGAGCAGGGGGGAAGAAAACAAAGTTTGTTTCAAATTCCAACTAAGAACTAATTCCGTTCAAAGAAACTTTTGCATTTTATACAAATCTAATGCAAGTTGTATACTGATTTTTCATTGCGCTTCTTTCTTTTTAGAGTCCATGCAATTAGCAATGAGCCACATATTACAGGAAACTTTTTGAATGCGAAAAACATTAAAGATACAGATAAACTTGAGACGTGACTGCGCCCAGACGACGGATATGGCTGCTTAAGTGGCTCACTTCCGGTGAATCCGGACAGGAATAAGCAACAACAACCAACTCGAGCACAGACGCAGTTATAGCCTTGGCCGCATCCACAGCCAGCTCGGCCAGCTTAATCTCAATCTACAACTGAAAAGCGACTCATTAGGTATCCAAACAAAGTCCTTAAGCATGGCCAATGTAAGCAACGAGACGGTTAATGCTTGGCTGGTCTCGGTCAGCACTCAGTTGCCGCATGTACTGGGCATAGATGTGGGCGTCAATTGGAGCAGCAGCAGCACGACCAGCACCACAACAATGGCCATACCCAGCAGCAGCATGGGCACCACCACCACGGCAAGCACGGTGAGCAGCCTGTCCAGCGATGCGAATACGGACGCGGCCGCAGATGCTGATAAATCGGGCATTATACACAATCAGTTCGTGCAGATCTTTTTCTATGTACTGTACACCACAGTGTTTGTTCTGGGCGTATTTGGCAATGTGCTTGTCTGCTATGTGGTGCTCAGGAATCGTGCCATGCAAACGGTAACCAATATATTCATTACCAATCTGGCGCTATCCGACATTTTGCTTTGTGTGCTGGCCGTGCCCTTTACGCCATTGTACACATTTATGGGTCGCTGGGCATTTGGGCGCACTCTGTGCCATCTGGTCTCCTTTGCCCAGGGCTGCAGCATATATATATCGACGCTGACGCTGACCTCGATTGCAATCGATCGCTATTTTGTGATCATATATCCGTTCCATCCGCGCATGAAACTCTCCACATGCATTGGCATCATCGTGAGCATTTGGGTGATCGCACTGCTGGCAACTGTGCCCTACGGCATGTACATGAAGATGACCAACGAGGTGATGGATAACACCACCCAGCTGGTTGGCGCCAATCAGACAAGCAGCAGCCGGTATGGCAATTATGGCCTTGCCACGCCCGACGCCACATCGGCTGCCCAGGCCTACATGCAGGTCATGACCGACGGCGTCACTGTCTGCGAGGAGAACTGGCCATCGGAGCATTATCGCAAGGTGTTTGGTGCCATAACCACGACGCTGCAGTTTGTCTTACCATTTTTCATCATATCCATTTGCTATGTATGGATCTCGGTCAAGTTGAATCAGCGTGCCAGAGCCAAGCCGGGCTCAAAGTCGTCGCGACGCGAGGAGGCGGATCGGGATCGCAAGAAGCGCACGAATCGCATGCTTATCGCAATGGTGGCAGTCTTTGGCCTCAGCTGGTTGCCCATCAATTTGGTGAACATTTTTGATGACTTCGATGATAAGTCCAACGAGTGGCGCCTCTATATGCTGTTCTTCTTTGTGGCCCACTCGATTGCCATGAGCTCCACCTGCTACAATCCCTTTCTGTATGCCTGGCTGAATGAGAACTTCCGCAAGGAATTCAAGCACGTGCTGCCCTGCTTCAATCCATCCAACAACAACATCATCAACATCACCAGAGGCTACAATCGCAGTGATCGCAACACCTGCGGCCCGCGTCTGCATCATGGCAATGGCGAGGGCGGCGCCGGTGGCAGTCTTGATGCTGATGATCAGGACGATAATGGCATCACACAGGAGACCTGCCTGCCCAAGGAGAAGCTGCTCATCATACCGCGCGAGCCCACCTATGGCAATGGCAACGGTGCCGTCTCCCCAATACTCAGTGGGCGTGGCATCAATGCAGCCCTCCTGCATGCCAGCCAGCCGCAGCAGCAACAGCAACAAGTCCAGCAGCAGCAAGTGGAGCTCACAAGACGCATACGCCGACGCACAGACGACGACACCGATTTTATAGACTCCGGCGATGAGCAGACGGTGGAGGTGCGCTTCAGCGAGACGCCGTTTGTCAGCTCCGACAATACGACGGGCATCAGCATGCTGGAGACGAGCGAGAGCCAGTTCCAGGACTCAGGAGAGCTGCCCGAATTGAGCGCTGTTGTGGTTGGAGATGCCTCCAGGCGATGTAACTGAGACAGGGTGAGTACCACGAAAGAGTTTTTGTTATGCAAACAATTGAAGGAAACTTTGGGAATGGGTCTGTCAAAAGACATTTCTCAAGTGATATGCAAAATATTTAAAAGTGTTTATGACTAATGCACTTTATGGATAAATGCCACTCAAAATCAATTTCACATAATTCGTCTGTATCAAAATTGAAAAAGCAGCAGCATAATTTATTCAGAGCGAAAGAAATGTCGAAAATTTGTGCCATATCATCATATGATGGCATCATGGAAAATTTAGCTCACCACAAAAAAGAAATCAGCGCAAATATTTCGATGATGCAATCTATTTTCTGACAAAGCGTTGCTCCATAAAACTAGGTTAGGAACCTGCATGAGTTTCATGAGATTTGCAGTACCACAAAGCGCTCTTCATCAAGCATGGAGGGGTTGGGGCTTTGAGGTTCGGCTTATGGCGCACAGAAGCCAAGCAAAGCAGAACAGCATTTGGCATGAGTTCCTTATGCTTTTTGTGCTGGCAAATTTCATTTGCTGAGCTCTAACTTGGTTGCAGTCGACGATGGTACGAGTATTTCCAACCAACTCAAGGTAATAAATCAACAGTGAGTGCGAAAGTAACTGCCACTGTTGGAACTTATCGCAAGTCATTGCACAAATCTAGTCCAGCAGCAGAAAAATTAATTATATTTGAAGAACAAAAGCATACATATAAATTATGAATGTGTCGAAGTTGCAAATAAAATAAACCAAATTGAATTGTTTTTACCATAAACCGAACTAATAAACAAATGAGTTGATTCAAATTCATGCAAAAAGCACACTTAAACGAATTAAATTCTTTGAAAAAATGAATTCAAATAAAAATGTTGAGGAAGATGCATAACATGCATCTATTTCAAGTGTAAGAAATTCAAGAATATTTACAAGAAGGATTTTACTTGAAATATGCTAATAAAATTTGGCATTACATTTAGAATTTTATTTGTACTTTCAAAAAGTTAACAGAAAGACGGTAACGTGACAAATTGAAAGTGCATTAGATATTCGTCGAAGATAAGCGTACATGTCCTTCTCCTTTTAGATTGTGAATCCTAATCTACATTTAAAAGTCAAAGTAAGAGCTCGACAGAGACAGCTTGAAAAAGACTTGCAATCGATTAGAAAAATATGTTAAAGGTGCCGACCCTTTGGGTCAGGTGTTCTCCACAATATGCTGTTTACCATAAACAACAAGTGGAGCAAAATTTACAGTCACAACAGCAAAAACAACAACATGTAAACAAATAACCAACTGCAGTAGTCAGATAAATGGCTTGGATAATGGTCAACAGCCGGTGGACAAGATAAGGCGAACTCTCCCATAAACATAAAGCTTTGACGCAGTATAATTTACATTTGGCTTATTTATTTATAATTTTTATGGAAAGCACATTATGGTGCTATCTGTCTGTGTCTGGGACTGGATCTCTGTTAGAGCAGCGGCATACTTGAACCGAAATGGCCAGTCATAAAATATATAAATAGCGCTGGCATTGAAATTCTATTTGATTAAAAGATGATTTACCGTATTAAGAGGCCATGAGAGTCCGTGGCGGAAGCAACAAATTTTGATAAATTGCATAAAATCTATATCCACAAATAGAACTACGTAGTACTAGCAGATGTTCTAGATAGAATTATATAGAATAAGATGATCTTTGTGCTGGTATGTTAGCAGCTTAAAACTAAAAACATATTTATTTATTATTCACGAAATGCGGTATAAGGGTATTCTATTGGAAGTATAAATATTCTCGATCCATCTGTCTTTTAAAGATATCCTTTTAAAACTTAATAGAAATACGATTTTTTTGAGATCCCGAAATAAAAGTTCCTTTCAATTCAAATTCAACCGTAAAAGTTGTGGAAAACTCAGCAAAAACCAACCGGAAATGATGTTCAGCTGTTTTCAGCCTTTTTTCCATTCGACAGCAGTCCGCTTGTCTGGCAGCCTTTACAAATATATTCCTTAGCATTTGTATACGTTCACTCACTCATTATCTAGATACATACATACATAAATTCAGATAACTTGTTGTTGTTGTTGCTGTTTACATTTTGGCCATGTTTGCGGCTGGCTTTGAAGCCAGACCGAGCTAAACATATGAGCGCAATTCCGAGATGTCCGAGAGGCCTTTAATTTATGAATAATTCAGTGCGGTCGTTAGTGGCACACACTATGCTGTTCAGTTCCTAATTACCCGCTGGCATGCGGGCCGCCATTATGGGTCACGTGGGTGGTGTGAGCGCTAGGTCCGGTAAATAAGCTGAATGCACGGCTTGCGTTGGACGGAAGTGGGTTGGCAGTGGGTTTAACGTATATACGAAACGAAAAAAAAAAGAAGCATTCCTTGAATGCTTGTGCTCAGTATCTCTGCTCCCTAAACAGACGCTTTGAATTATGGAATCACGATGGTGGTGACTGAACGGTAAGTGATATAGTTGATGGTCCCTGCTCGGGCGCCAGCACATTTGATGCATTATGCATGAGAACTGCAACTGGAATTGCAAACGGCAATTGTCGGACTTGCAGACAAAGTCAGCGAAGTTTGCACTCGTAGTGGGTGCTCTTAAAGGAACAGCAATGGGTCCATCATGGACGGAGGCGGGGGGCTGACAGCGGACGCACCCCTTTGTGTGGCGTCCCTGTAAACAAGTTTGCCAGCGAGTTAGTGCGAAACTTTTTACAACTAAATTGTATTTTGTTGTTTGCTGTCTGGTTTCTGCGAATGGCAAATGGCCCAGAACTTGCCTCGGCCTGATGGAGCAGGATGCGCTGTGGGGGGTATATTGGACAAGCTGACTCTATAGAATGCTAACTTTACAATTGCATATCAAGCGATTCTTTTTTTTTTTTTTAGCTGTTTCTGTTGCCAGTTTGTTAGTTTTAAAATGCCATCATTTTTGTGCCGCACAATGCGGTGGCTTCTGCTGCCTCTGATAAGCTTCGTTGGCCAACTTTTCACACAAAATTTGTAAGCCGAGGCCCATCATTTACTGAAAAAGTTCTGGCATCTCTATATCATGTAATCAATTTTGCAACAATTTCGAATATTCACCGCACTAAGTTTGCAATACTGAAATGCCAGAGCGAGCCGCAGTCCCTTTTGATAATAAACTCGGATATTTTGTGTCAAGCAATGCTTTATGCAATCACAAAGTTTGTTTGCAGTATTGAACATGGGACTGCCCGCAAAATAGCTCCAAATACCAATTCCATTAACGTTAATAGAAATGAAAGGAAGGCATAAATTTTTTTTTAACAAATAGTTGGAAGCAAGACTCAAGTCCGGAATTCCAAGTATGCAACGGAACAAACTTTGTATAAAAAATGTTTGATTAAAAATAAAAGTACTTTTGAGCCCAAGGCATAGATTACCTTGGCCCCTTTCATTGCATGTATTCGACCACATATGCTAGATGAAATTCGTGGACAGGGATTAAATATAGCCCGCAGCTTGTATATGAAAATATTTACAGCTTGCAATATTTTCAGTACATTGGGCATATAAAGGTTTAACTGGTTTTTTGTGTTTGCAGCTCTAGTTAACTATATTGAACTGCTTTAATTTTGTTCTAGAAGCGAATTGCGTTTGCATTTCCAATGCCAATCAATCACACTAAAAGCGCACAATTGCGTTGTAAAATCTAAAGAGCCTGATTAAACCAATACTAAATTGTTGCATATAAAACTCGAACATAATGCTCCGCGCTCCTCCTTTTTCAAGAGAGGCAAATGTTTCAGTCGTTATTGTTGTCTTTGTGTGTTGTGTGTGGATTTAATGGCTACAATAAGAAGGTCTTTAGCTGCTTGAGGTTCACATACACATAAATATACACACGCACACACGAGCACATGTAGAGCATAAGATGTTTTCGATATGTACTTACAGTCAACGTAAAATGTTTTGGCCATAAAAAAAATGATTGCCGTGCTTTCATTTTTGTATTCGCGCGATTTTAGCAGTTCTTAAATTCGGTTTTGACGTGTCATGAAACATGTGTTTCATTTGCGACTAGCGGGTCACGGGGCAAGAGTTGGGGAGACGGCTTGATGATACGCATTTATATTTTATAACCTCACCATCAATATGTGTATTAGCCCAACGGATTCATGTTGACGGCAGCTGGTGCATAAGCCAACTTGACTGACAGTCAGACAGTCTGGCAGTTGGGAGGAAATAAAAGCGATTAATGAAGTTCCCAGCGCCAAATGGCAAGTCTCTAATTGACGTTTGGAATCGGTTGTCCCTTATGTGGGCGCCTGCAGGGAGCTATTCAGCTGCTCTAATCGATAGCGGAGCAACTGATTCCGAGATTAAGAACTACGCCCTTTGACCGACAGATTGGCATTTAAATTATCGTACTAACTAAATACAGCAACTCGGGACTTCAATTGGTGGTGGCATTTTGGGTACTCTATAACATTTTTTTAGATATATAAATAAATAAACAAGATATAATAAATTGTCCACAATTGTTTCATATTATTTAACATTTATAGTGGACTTCGTGGAAAAAGAGAGGGAAAGAGAGAGAGAGAGACGCAAATTTCTTACTTACTGTCTTACTTAAATTCATAAGAATCGCGTAGAAGAGATATTTTTAAAAATGATGAGGACTTAGTGTCCGATTTTTCAGGTGGATATTTCGATAAGTGAGGTACGCAAAGGCGAAATTTTATTTATATGGCTAGCCCATTAGCGAAAAAACGCCTCTGTATTGCTATAATTGGCTGCTTTTGTAAGGGTATTATTAAATAAAAATGCAATTACCGTTTTACACATTATCAAAGGGCGTGCGCGAAAAGTCAGTTTAGTAATGTAAAACTCAACACGTTCCATGTTCGCACATGTGGGTGGGCGTGTGTGTGTGTGAATGTGTGGAATGTACTTATATCCACATGGCTCTATTTTTATTCCCGTTGCCCGTGTCTAATCAGCCTAATGTGTGGGGCAAAAAAGAAAAACAACA